GCCAGTGAGCGCACCGGCCATCCCTATACAGGATCCGAACCTGCAGCCTCGGCGCTACTAGCGCCACACTCTCCTGAGTGAGTCAGGGGGCCAGCCCTGACAGTCAGGCATTTAAAACGTTACTTTTAATTGAAAAACAATTGCTAAAATATTGTAGAATAGTCTACAAAACTCAAATGCAATTTTAAGATAAAACTGAAATTTTGAATAAAGTGCCATGTTCCGAGCTTCTGGGGACCGAGTTCATTTAGTTTGCTGTTAGGTAAACTTCAGTGAAAAGTTTGAGGAAAGCTTTGCTGGGCGACAAAGGGATCAGCACTTCTTTTGTGAAACAAACAAATGGACAAAGCAAACTGGTTGAAACGGAGCAGTCCCAGGATGGCTTGAAGTACCTGCTTTGTTTCTGAGATAGTCTTAGTGGACTTCGAGTCCACATTTTGGGGCACAAATGCTGGCGGCCTTGCGCCAGCCTGTGAGGTCGACCTCTGACTACAAGGTCCCTTTAGAGACCCATTTGAGTAGGATTTCCTGTGACTTCCTCATTTGATGACTCCGTGCATATCACTGCATGATCCCAGAAGGCAGGAAAGCAGGGTCTCTGAAATACTGGACAGCTCCAGTGAGCAGCAGCAATCTTGCACTGAAAGCACTTATGTTGGTTGGTTTGTTTTAAAAGTTAGTTTTAAAAGATTTTGTAAAGGCTCCTTGGGCTTCTACAAGCTGTAATATTGTTAGTAATTAGCATTGATTAGCTTGGAGGAGATCAAGGTGGTTTTTATCTTTTTCTCTTTTCCATCCTTTTTTTTTTTTTTTTCCTAAGAGCTTCTTTCTTTTCCCAACCCCCGAAAATGCAGCCAGGATTTACTGAGCGCAGGCTCTGGCCGAGGGATGCTCTTCCAGCGCCCCTCGGAAAGCAGGAGCAAGCTGCACACTCATCTACTCTTCATGTCCTGCCTGCTTCCCAGGACAAGCCAGGCAGCCAGGCCACTGGTGAGGCTGACCAGGGACTTGGCTCTTTGTCAGAGGGTTTTTCCTTGGGACAGTAGGTAAACTTACATATTTAAGGGGGACAGTGTAATGAGCAGACGCCGATGGCACATATGGCACCAGCTTCCCCTGCAGAGCCACCTGGTCTTTGGGAATGTTGCTGACATTTTCCGTAAGGGGGTGTATGTGAGTGTCTGAGACAGGGATTCCTGGTGCTGCACACCAGATTCTTCACCAGAGGTGTTGTGGGCATCAAGGGGACCTTCTCCTGGAGTAGGTACCATGCTTATGCCACAGCATGGCTACTGGCAACACCAATGCTGCAGCCACCATGAGCTTCCCAACAGGAGCTGAAGTGGAGAGAACAAGGGCTACAGATCTGACAGACCCGGGTTCCAATTCCAGCGTAGAGCCAAGGCCTGGGCCACGAGAAGGTGGTTACCAGGCAGTAGCAGTCATGCATCCTTTTATGCCAGTGAAGGGCAGGGACTTAGGGTAATTCATAATGGTTAGATGTTGACAAAGACGATGAATAATGCTTTCAACTCATGGCACAAAAAGAGTCATCTAGATATATACAACCTCATGTTTGAAAAGATTTTCAATGCAAATAGTCTTTGGCAATAAGTCCTCTCTTTTGCTCATGTCTGGATCTTTGAAACACATTTTTTAAGTGCCCCTGTGTGCAGGGATTCATGGTAAGCTCTGTGGTACACTCATAGTTCATGTGCCAGAGGGGGCTGCCCACTCAGCTAGTGAATGTAATGAATGAAGGATTTCGTTTCTGTCATGGCCTCAACTACAACTAGTGTGCTTAATACATGCCCAGTATAGTGCTGAATGCTTTATGTGGACGGTTTTACAAAACCCCATATGCTATGCACTATTTTACCAACGAGGAAACAGAGGTTCAGGGAGAATTCTAGAAGTCACATAGCCAGCAAGTAACAGAATCGATCCAGACCCTGACTTAGTTAAAGCCTGTGTAAGGCCTATTCAGAAGCTACCGTATTTAGCTAGCATAAAATTATAAATGAGCGAAGCATCATGTTGAATTTTGGATTTTTTTTTCTTTGTGAAAAGAACAGATTTTGATTCTGCACCATTTCAGAGTATTTGCCAGTTTGTGAAGCTGGTAGTACCAATTAGGAGAAGCATTCTAACCCTGTCTGGCTTTCCGATGTCTACTATGATCTAGACGGTAATCATTTCACCCAGCTGACCTGCCAAGTGGAAGGTGTGCAATTAATTGCTGCGAATCTTCTGTTACCGACCAGTTCTGAGTACGATTTTCCTGATTATGTTGTACATGAGAAATAGAGAGAATGCGTTTTGCCAAGTTTGAAATCCACTCCACGCCGGTGGGTGTGAGATCGATCACTCTCGGCAGTTGTGACTTCCTCTTTTCAAGATAAAAGACTTACAGAGGTTTATTAGAAAATTTCAGAAGGCTTTGATGAGGCTGTCACATACAGCTTAGAGAAAACACTTAAATAACTTAATTGCAATGAATTAGAACCATATGGATCGTTTTCTTGATACTTGCATCATCTTAAGAGGATTAGCAGATGATCTATAAAAGACGTTTGATGGTATCTATAACCGAGAGTATTAAAGAGAGGAAAATTTCAAAATGCTTGAAAGAATGTGGCTGGCTTTTCTAAACGCAAACATTTACAAGAGAGACGACCGTGTTTAGAGCGTGACATTCTCACTCCCTCTGTGGCTTTCACCGAGACAGTGAGCTCCATGTGGTCGCGGGGTAGTACTCTGGGGCCACCTTTGCCGACAGTCCTCCTCTTGTCCATTTGCTACCTGCTGAGAACACTGTCTGGGTCATTATACTTAATGCCTACAGGGCAGGGCAATCTGTTCACATCTGAAGGGAGCCTGTCCAGCTCAAAGCACATGTTTCACATCCATTAGCAGAAGAGTTGGGTGGTTGGTGAGGTGGCACAGAGGTGAGGGGAGAGCTGAAACACAAGTGGCATCGTTAAAAGGGGACAGAACCTGGAGTCTGAGTGGTTGGATTCAGGTCCCTGCTCTGCTCTAAACAGCTGTGTGACCTTGGTTCTGCCACTTCACCTCTGGGAGCCCCGGTTTCTCTTGAGAATGATGACCACTATCCTGTTTACCTCGGGGCTGTTGCAAGGACAACTAAGATGAGTGACGTGAGAGCTCGTTGCACACTGGGAAACTCTATAGGAAATAGGCAGTGTGGTGGTTCCCCGCAACTGTCCGGGGGCCTGGCCTCACTCCCGGACCCCAGTGTGGAGTGGTTATACAGCAAGGCCAGAGCCTGGAGGTGGGAGCTGTACAGTCCGAGTGGGCAACTGTTGACCCTGCCCTTGGGCTGAGCGTGCTGTGGGCCTGGGCTGGGTCAGGGCAGAGCTGACAACTGGGCTCCTCAGGCAACTGTGACCAAGCTTCTTGTCCTTGGAACTCCACTCCTTCCCCCTCAGGGACCCCATCACTTTAGGAAATTCCAGTGGTCTTACTTCTTATTACTGTTTTTTCAGTATTTTACTGTTGAGTGTCAGGGTTGCAGAGTCAGAATTTGTCTGTCCTGGAGCAGAGACCTGCAGCTGTCCCCCAGGCCCAGAGGTGCCACTGTGGTCTTAGGGACACTGTTTCCATTCCCAGATGCATGGCTGGAAAGGTCCTAGGGCTGGAACTCGGGACAGAGAATGCGATCTCTGCTCAATAATTTATTGTTAGCTGACCCAGATAATACCTGTGTGTGTTTTAAGCAGATTTGCTCATTTTACTGGACTATACTATTGGATTAAAAACAAAAACTTTTAAATAATTACTACTTTGTATATTGGGGAAGAGATTTGTTGAACACTACATGATATTCTCTTAGTAGCCTTTAAGAATGGGGTGCCCAATGACTGATTTGGTAACTCCACCTAGTCTACAAACGGATATTCTTTTTGGTTGGATTCAGGACATTGGAAGCAGGTGTCTGGCATTTCAGAATAACCATCTTTAGTGGCCATTTATTTAAGTGTTATTGAAGATCACATTAACTCAAGATGTTAGTTTTTGTTTTTGTGTCTTAGTGTTGAAATGTTAGCTTAGCTGGGAATTTTCCAGTCTAATAAGGGGAGTCAGATTGATGATGGGGTTAGTGTATGTAGAGGAGGAAGAATTCTTGGGAAATAACAGGCTTACACAATTAGAGAGAGGCTCATCAGCCTAACCAGATCCTCAAACGAGGGCTGGACTGTGACCCACTGTTAGAAATGGGCAACGTCCTAGTCAGTGATCCATACCCTTGTGCCCTGGCACATCAGCTCTTACTTGATGTAAAAGCAAAACTGTAACACTAAGGATTGGCCACCAGAATGCATTATTTCGAGAAAGTTAACAATGAGAACATTTCTTGAGATTAATCAGTTTAGCAGGAGGACTTCTAGAAGTTGATTAATTTAGCAAGAAGAAAACAACAGACACGGAGGATACCAGTGATGGTGTGGCATGACCAGGGTTTGTCTAGAGGCACAAGACTCAGACGTGGAAGAAAAATTAAGATCCCAAACAGAAATCAGTTAGTATTTAGCTTTTAATGAGTCATTGTAAAGGCAAGGAAAGCCGGTCTTTTCAACATTACAGTGAAAAAGCTTTCTGGAGGATAGCTCTAAACAGCACATCAAGTGTGTCTGCTGTATTTTCATGCTGACCATTAAGTTTCACTGAGAATAAGGCGACAAAGGGAAATAGATGAAAAAGACACTGTAAAAAACATAACAAGATTTCTGGCTGGCAGTCTCACAACATGGTGTGTTTTCATTTTAAGTTCTTGAGACGTCTCTGTATGAAACGTGGGGAGGAACATGTAGATGGGGTGTTGGGAAAAAAGGCTCTTACTAGACTTGGTTACCAAAAGTGGGTGTTTTAAGCCCAGTAGCTGATTGCTGAGGCTCAGTGTTTGGAGGGGCTTCATATTTGTGGCGGTGGACTCTAAGTGGTATAGTGAGTAATGGTTTCCGTGTCATGTCCTTTTTAAGAAAAGGAAGTGCCCAACAAGCCCTTGCGTGTGCGCGTCCGGTCCTCAGACGACAGGCTGTCCATTGCGTGGAAGGCACCGCGCCTGTCCGGAGCCAAGAGTCCACGCAGGTTGCGGGGTTTCCTCCTGGGCTACGGGGAGAGTGGCCGGAAGATGAACTATGTTCCACTGACCAGAGATGAGCGGACGCACGAAATTAAAAAGCTAGGTGAGTTTGATATTAATTGGTATTCCATGTTTTCATGATCTTTGCAATCATTTCAATATTTTGAAGTTCATTCATGACCAAGCATTCTATTTTAGTTGTAATGTTCGTTTTCCAGGTATGACAATTATGCGAAATTACACTCTGTTCTGCCCCATCCTGGCATCCATCATTTTCTCCAACTTGCTTTTGACCAGTGATAAGTATTTCAGCTCCCACTGCTAACTCTTACATCATTTCCTAATCGGTTCAGGACACAGGCAAGGAAGAGGGTGTGGTTTATTGGGCCCTCCTGGAAGACTCCAGAAAGATCCAGAGGTCTGTGCAATGGTGTGGATGCTGGAGGAGAGGGAGGGAGGGATGCTCCAGCAAGTTGTAGGGAAGGGCGGAGAGCCCAGGTCTGTGCGCAGTGAGGGGAGTCACTGCTGAGAAGGCAGCATGTCACCCACCTCCTGGCACCTCCTGAATCAAAAGAGGTAAAATCTCTCAGACAAGGTGAGGGACGGGCAGAAGGGGAGAACTGAGACTGGCGAGATGAGCCAGGGAGTGATAGAAGGGAGAGAGCCACCCAGGAGCTGTCAGTTGGCAGTGGCCGGGGGCAGTGGTTTGGGCCCAGCAAACAGCCCAAGGTGGGAAGTGGCTGCTATGGTGGGAAGAGGGCCTGGCGGGCCTGCGCTCCTCGGGTGCTCTGAGAACACTTCCTCTTGGCTAAAGGCACTGCCACCCAACATTGTGGGGCCTGGGTGAGCAGCTCTGTGTTCCTCAGGACTCCCAGGCCTGCTCCCTGGGCCATGCAGCAGGCACTCATCAGTACCAATTTGACCTGCTGGAGACACTGGGTGGACAGCCAGACTCCCCTCCCAGAAACAGTATCGTAAGTCCCTGTTCTGTTTGCTGCTGTGGTCAGCCACCTGCTGAGGACTCTCTTGAAAGAGCTCAGCTGTCTGCTGGGTGTTCCTGGCACAGTTTGGTTTATGGTGTTCTGTGTCTTAACCTGGTCTGCAAATGTTGGCACAGGCGGCTGAGTGCCAGGCACAGCACTTCAGCCATCTCAGTGCAAGCTGAGTCCAGACTCTTTCCAGCAGAAAAGAGACTAGCACCTCTCTGCTCCAATGCTGCATGAAATGGCGAGGGATCCCAGGAACCAAAGGAGAAATCCAAGCTGTACATGGTTTGCAAGGCATGACTTTGCTATTAGCAGCAAGAAGCCACAGAAAAATTTGGAGACTCGTCAATCATTCATTCCTGAGCCTACCCCTATGCCCGAATAGTTTGACTGTGCTGGTTAAATGGCTCTGTTTTGGTGATGCCGACCCAGTTCTACCCAGAATATCAACAGAAGAGCAGAGTCGCTATTTTTGCATTTCTGATATTGCTGAGAGCATTTTTTTAAAATGGAAAGTTGTCATGGATCTGAGCCTTTTACAGATACCACACATTAAAGTGTCGTTTAGTGTTGACAGTTTTTCATCTGACTGGGTCTGTTATTTTTTCATGTCTTCAGTATGAACTGCTGGCTCACCTGAGGGTAGCAGGACTTTTTTGTTGCCTGAACTTGAGCAAATATTGGACCTGAGGTCAGGAGTGGGCTCCAGTCCCAGCCTGAATGGAGAAGGCGAGCGTTGGGCTTCCAGTGCAGTGTGTTAGCTTTTGCATTTTTGCTGCACAAGGAGCTGGATTTGCCATCATGAATGATCTAAGAGGTTACTGTGTGGAGGTGGAGCTTGCCCCATCACGGGGTGTGGGGAGGAACAGGAAGAAGTGAACTCCCCAGGGCTGTCGGAGGGGACATGCTGTGACGGGAGGACCATCTCCTTATTTTATTCTGCACAGGACTTCAGTTCTGCTTATAACAGAGATGCCACTGAATGTGTGGGACTGCAGAGGGTGGTCACATGTTAAGGAGACTTGGAGGAGAGAGGGCCTGAGGTCCCGTCAGCAGAGCCCCCCTCTCTGAGCTGTTCATTGAACGTGTCTTATTGGGCATCTTCTGTGTCGGGTGTGATCCTGGGGGAGGCACCAGTGTGGAATCAATATCAAAGGAGGCCCCACAAGGACGATGACGTCTGAGCCAAGGCCTGCAGGTGGAGAGGCTGTGGGAATAACGAGGGCAGAGGAGACAGCAGGACCAGGACCCGAGTGGAAGCGGGTAGCAGTAAAGACGGAGCACGTCTGGAGCCCTTCAGAAGGTTATGACAGACTTTTACAAGTTGAGACACGGTGTTTTTGCCACATCACATGCTTGAGATCTGGAAGCGTCTTAGTCCATCTCTGTTGCTTATAGCAGAATACCTGAAACTGGGTAACGTACAAAGGAATGAAATTCACTTCTTACAGCTTTGAAGTTGGGAAGTCCGAGGTCCAGGGGGCACATCTGGTGAGGACCTTCTTCTTGGTGGTGACTCTCTACAGCAATGCAGGGTGTCACATAGTGACAATGGCCAGAACAAGAGTGAGCTGACCATCTCACTGCCCTCCTTATAAAGCCCTCAGAAGCAGGCGCACAATAACTCATTAGTTCATAAATAGATCAATCCATTCACGAGGGCACAGTCTTCATGATCCAATCTCCTCCCAAAGGGCCCCCCTTTCAAATACCATGACTGGATTTCCCACCATCTTAACACTGTTACAATGGGAGTCAAGTTTCTGTGAGTTTTGGGGGGACAGTCAATCCGCAGCAGGAAGTGAGCAGATGCTTTGATGCTGATGGGGGATGACGGGGTCATTTTGTAAATTTTGTTTCCTCTGTTTATTCGATGATCAGCAAACAGAAAGAAGTGGGTTTTTATACCACTGCAGTTCCTCATTAGATCTCTATGAAAAGAGACAGGTTGCTGCCTGGAGCTGATGCCCATTTAGCCCTGGGCATGCTGCCTCCTTGTCTGCAGCTCTTGGGAGCCACACAGACTAGTGTGAGGCCCAGCCCTGCCTCTTCCTCCATGACCTCGGTGGTCATCTCACCTCTGTGAGCCTGTTCCCTCATCTGCGAAAGGAGACAGTGATAGCGGCTTCGTCGTGGGCTTTTGTTAGGACGAAATGAAGAATTTGCACATGAAATGTTGAGCACAGTGGGGAGCCTTGAGCCTGAACATGTGAGCTGTTACTGTAGTTTACTGCAGTACAAAACTCTTCCTTCATGATAATCTTGGACCAAGTTTAGTTTCAAGAGCTCAGCAAATCAGTATCAGTATCAGTATCAATATCAGTATTAAAAATACTAAGAACTTTAAGAAGTATATTGAAAACATATACAAATTTCAGTTGTGGGAAATTATTTGTTTCTTGGTGGTTCTTGATAAATGATGGGACACTGCATTTCACGTTTAGTCACTGACACATGTTCCTGGATTTTGAGGCTGATTGGCAGATTTTTTTTCTTCGTTTACTTTTGGCATGCTTCCATTGTCAACAGCACCAAGGAACTAACAGATCTGAAGTGTGGCCTCTGTATAGAAGCTCAGTTTGATGTTCTGTTAATCCAAGTGTTACAAACTTGATCCTTTCCTTTTATAAAACAGATATTTCAAAATTCTATGGTAGAAAAATATGTGACTGCCTCATATAAATAATTTACAAATATCACAGCTATCACAGCGTGAGCTGTCGAATGTGATCGCCTTCCCCTGAAATCTCTGATTAGTCTACAGCAGTTCGCTTTACAAAAATAAATCGCTCTCTGTGAGGTTTTTGAATGCAGGTCTCCTTTTTGTTTAATTCAACATGTTTGTAAGGCAAAAGGCTTATTTTCCCACTTCTATCTGAGAGTTTGCAATGCCTGGAGTCCTGTGCTCGAAATCCTCTTTATGATCTTAGTGTCATCTCTGTTAATTTACCTAGGTATTATTACCTGATGATAATACTATCTGCACTAGTCAGGTTGCCTTATATGTATTCTTGTATTTATTAAAGCTGCAACAGGAAGCTTGGTCAGTAGAGCCTGGACTTGGTCATAAGCAATTTTGGATTCAAGGAAGAGTTTGCATTCTACTTAGGTGTAGTCTACTTGGACAAGTCACTCAATTTTTATGACTTTATGTCCTTATTTGTAAAATAAGAAGGTCAAATTGGAAGATAACCAAGATTTCCTCTGGATCTCAGACTCTATTATTCTACAGTACTTAAGAGTGTAGGTTTAAATTCCATCACTGTGGGTTTTTTTCCAAATAAAATTTTCAAGTTTGGGTTAAGTTGGATACTAGTGGAACCTGTGTAACAACTGGGGGAAGGGAGACTAACTGAAAGAATAATCCAGAAATAGAAATACTTTTCCATTTGTTCCTAGTAAAATCTTCAGACTCCATTCTGAGGATTCTAGTTTCCAAGGGCACAGCACCCTATGGGAAAAGAAAAACGTTCTGGCTGCTGGTCTGGTTGACTGTCTGTTCTTTTCACTTCTCCCTTCATTTTGATGACAGATAAAAACAGAGTAACTGCCAATTCTCTATGTTGGAAGCAAAAATAAATTGGGAAAATTGTATGGGTAAATATGCTATTCTTTTCTTTTTTAAAGCATGTTCATCTCTTTTTGAGGCCAATGAGATAAATACCCATTTTTCAAAAATTATACATAAAAATAAGTTCCCCATTTTTTAACATAATGGAGGTGTTCTTTCTGAGTTTAGTCCCTACAGTTCTTGGGCTCATCTTTAGTTGTCCCCAGAAAGATGAAATGGAAAGGAAGGGGAGGGGCAATGCAGACAACCAGGGATGTGTGTCCCTGAGAAATCCAAGCCAGTCTCATCCCTTCTTGCTTCTTGGTCTGCAGCATCGGAGTCAGTGTACGTGGTCTCCCTGCAGTCTATGAACTCCCAGGGGCAGAGTCAGCCAGTCTACAGGGCTGCCCTAACGAAACGGAAGATTTCAGGTATGTTTCTAAGGAAGCATTTGATCAAACCATGGTCTAGTATGAATGTTGTGTTGTTTCCAAATGATGTTGGCTGGGCAAGAGATTACACGAATTTTATTAAGGATAAAGGAAACAACAGGGCAGACTTGGTCATATTTTGGGTACAAGGGTGTTTCATACTCAGAGGCTGGGGTGTTCTTGTGGTAAAAGTGATAAAACATATTTCACTGTATATTTTGAGTGGCTTCACTGTGCAGTAGATTTGCCACGATAAGAGCAGCTAAGCATTTATTCCATGGAAAGGCACAGTCTGATCCATGCACAAATTGCCCTTGGTGATACTCTGAATAAAGTGAGAGAAAGGAGAGTAGCTGTGGAGGGTGGTGTGCAAGATATGTGCACGGATGTCATTTCAGCTCAATTTGCATAAAACTGTCATTGAGAAGAGTGAGAAAAAATGTAATAGTGATTTGCTTATAGCCTGATCACTATCCACTTTCTAAGGGATACTTTCCCCCATATTCATTCCCAGATATTTTTTATATTACTCGTATATTAACAAATTACATATACCTTTTCTGGACTGTGAGCCTTAATTTAAAATAATTATTTCACGAAATGTATTATACTGTATTTTTACATTGTGTAAAGAAGTTCCACATTTATGCATTTTCCATTTTATTATTCATTAATTGGTGCCATAGGAAAAGTCCCTGAATCACTTCTCCTGCTTGTGGTAAAATCCACATCCTTTTGAAACATGATACTTGAGAAGTGAAAAGAAAAAACAAAACAAAAATACAAGAGACTAAAGAAAAAGATCGAAGACATCTTGTGAGTCTTAATTTGCTAAAGGTTGAGCTAAGATTACAAGCTTTGTGACTATGATGTATTCTGACAAAAAGGTAAATCTCTGTAAGAAATTGGCAAACTGAATTCTATTTTACATCTGAATATAAATTTTAATCTGCCTTGGAATCACATATTCTAAAATGTGAGGACGTTGAACCCAATGTAATTCTTACAATTTGAACCAGAATTTTCATTTCATGCCGTGATCACGCCTAGACTTTTGCTTCCCATAAAAATTTTATATTTCCCAGAAACTTACATTGTGTATGGAGAAGACAGTTATTTGGAGTACCTTCGACCAAGGCAAAGCATCCCCTGTGTATAGTTCTATGTCGGTTGGGTTGGGCAGCTTTTAAAGGGAACTGCCCATTTCTTAGACTGTGTTTAAGATGAGGAAGAGTGGAGATTTTTGTTTTTCTCCACTGACCAAATAATTGTTTAACTTTCCATTCATTTCATTTTATCTATATCAGCCATATGCAGTTGAAAATTATATAGGGTGAATAATAAACTCTGAAAGCCAGAGGGGCTCAGGGCAGAGCCTGTTGATAAAGATAGCCTTTCTATACACCCCCGTGTCATTTCAGAAGAGGATGAACTGGACGTCCCTAATGACATCAATGTCCGGGTTATGTCATCCCAGTCTGTGCTTGTGGCCTGGGTGGATCCTGTTGTGGAAAAACAGAAGAAAGTTGTTGCATCAAGGTACTTTTGCTTATTTTTCTTTATTTTATGCACATTGTATGAGAGAGGTGTTTTTTCTGGACCCGAAAAGACATGTATTTATTTTAATGATTTTATTTTCTGAATTATATGAATGTTGGTCTCTCTTGTGCCTGAATGATAGAATTTTCTGTGGCAATCTAGTTAATCCTGAGTGTGGTCAAGTATTTCACACAAATCAGATGCTAGCAGGCCCTTGTGTGTAGTACACACAGCAGGACCTCACATCTCTCTTGCTCAGAGTTTTATCTCATGTCTGGGAATTTCCTAGATTCTGTTTCTTTCTTTGCCCCATTGGTATTTTGCTTTGTCTCATTAATATTCTGTTCATGCACAGGATCTATTTCAGGAAGAGTCTTCCTGTTCCTCCTGTTATCCAGGAAGAGTCACACACAGTAGGACAGATTTTTTTGTAGAGTGGTAGATATTTGTCTAATGTGCTACCGTAGTTACTCATGAGGTATTTGTTGAATACTGAATCGCTTCATGTCCAGCTTGTTTGTGCATAACAAAATGCACCTTATTTTCTCTTAGACCATGATATTATATTATTCTGGTTTTTATATGAAAAAAGATTTGGTGGTCTAGTCATTATGTATTAATTTTTGAAATTATTTGCAACCAGGAAAGGGGAATGTACTTTAAAATGAAGGGAATATAGTGCTGAGATTATATGTATACATACATACATACAGTTATTCATATTAGATATATAGTTTCCTTTACTGTCTGCTACTAAAAAAAGACATCTGCTGCTTTTGAAAGACCACAGACGACTCATAGTGATTCTCTCCCTAGCCGTGTGGCCTTCCCCAACATAAAGCATTCCCGATTACCATAGGATTTTGATTTCCAACATCTTGCTGAAGACCAAAGAAAGCTTGGGTTTTCTTAACAGAACTGTTGTGTTAATTGCTATGCCGTGTTTTCAACTGAAGTCTTCTCCTGACCTATGAAATATAACGAATAGCACATTTTTAATGCACCAAATGCTTTCTACTGCAAAGAGGATGCAACGAGCATTTCCCTTAAGAAGAATGCAGTGGATGGTGTTTGCAGTGTTGAAGATGTCTGCTGTCCGGGGTTGTCGAGCCTTACCATGTTTGGTTACACTGTTCCTCTCCCTGATAATCATAATCACACACCAGAGTTTCTCTGATAGGCTCCTCTGTCCCGTTCTACTTGCTACACTTTCTGCTCCTGTTCATGGTAACAAGTCTACTCAAAAAACCATATGTTCCCTTTCCTTCTGAACCTATAGAAAACATTCCTATTTGGCATGAAAAAAGCCTTTTTTGTTTTTCTTTTCTGAAGAACTTAAATACCTTGGGCCAGTTTTGGTCTTTAATAGTGTTTCTTTCTACACTCACACATGCACACACACATCCCTGATAAGTTTTGCCTCATAAAATCCATCTCCCGTCCCTCCCTTCCTTTTGTAATCTCTGTTTGATCTTTTGAGTAGTAAGACTTTTTGGTTTTGAAAAGACATCTAGCTTTATTTTTCCTGGCCTACTTTAGACACCTTTGCCAGGAACTTAAGCAGATTCTTGGAGCCAATAACATAGTCAAAAGTTTAGATTTTTCTCCTCTTTGATTTCCCTACTTACCTCCAGAAGTCATCACGTATAGGCAAGGAAAAACAGCAAGAAATCTAGTGTTTAGTTGTAGAGAATTTGGATGCATTGTTGTATTGCATTTTCTTATAGACAGTACACTGTGCGCTATCGAGAAAAGGGGGAATCCGCCAGGTGGGATTACAAGCAGATCACTAACAGGCGTGTGTTGATCGAGAACCTGATTCCAGATACCGTGTATGAATTTGCAGTCCGTATTTCACAGGGTGAAAGAGATGGCAAATGGAGTACGTCAGTCTTCCAAAGAACACCAGAATCTGGTCTGTATTTGAAAATGGCCTTTGGATTTTCAATTTGGGAAATACTCATAAAATAGGATTTAAAGACAGTTTAAGAAGCCAATAGTGACAAAGACCAGCATGGGCATTTGTAAAGTCACATTAACCCTCAATCTTGGTCGTGTTTCTATGTATAAATGCAAAGAAGTTAAGGAACTGTTTCCTTAGGTTCATGTTTTATCCTTTGCTGGACTTTTCCACAAGCATGTTGTCCTGACATGTGGAGCACATTAAATCCCAGTGTGTAGTATATATAAATCACCATTGTGTGTGGGAATGCCCCTGGGTAATGCATGGCTCTTGCAGGTAGGAGAGACTCTTCTTTCCTGAGGCTGAGGTTGTGTTTGATTCTGGAGGAGAATTTTGCTCTGTATCCATACAAGACTATAATTCTTTTCTTTTAAACTATGACTTTAAATGTTTTATTAAAAATAAATTGGAACTCGACCTTAATCTTCTTTGTGTATTTCAATATTATTTAGCAATGAGAGAAATGCTGAATTCCTAAAAGCATTTTCCTAGATATGTTTAAACACACTATATGAGTTGGTGGGAGTGACATAAGTCACTCCATTACACAAAGAGCGAGTGTAGAATTTTCTGTAATGTGTAATAAAAATAAGCAGTTTCTTTTTAATTAAAAAGGTGTTTACAGGGACTGTATGCCATTTACTTTTAGCTTATCCATTAGGGCATTTAAAAATGTTTGATTCCTTGTTGTTTTGTAGCTCCTACCACAGCTCCTGAAAACTTAAATGTTTGGCCAGTCAATGGCAAACCTACAGTTGTCACTGTATCTTGGGATGCACTACCTGAGACTGAGGGAAGAGTGAAAGGTAGGACACTCATTCCTGATACTATGAGATGCACTGACTCTGATACCATGACCTCTACTCACAGCTTTGGTGATTGAAGAAGGAAACAGGGAAGCAACATATGTATAAGAGGTGCTAACTCCCAGGACAAGAATATTTCACTCAGAGTTTTCATTGTCTAAGATCCAGGTAGTTTTCACATTTCTGTTTTGGTGTTGCTATCAGAAGGGATGTTTTCAATTTCATGCAATGACTCTTGCTTTCATGCTATGGGTATTTTTATTGTGCCAGTAAGATCATGAAAATAGGCATTAGCAAGAACCCCTTAGGACCATAAATATCTTTAATGGGACTGTAAATATTTTTAATGGGTTTGAAAAACTCAAGTAATTGCTGGGACATGGACTTACTCCCTAATTGTCAGCCTTCATTTATTTATGTCTAGGAAAACATAATGTTAAAATAGAAAAAAAATATTGGAGATTTAAAAGAATAAAAATACAGTAAAATATTCACAACTACTTAAATTTAAAAATTATCTGATGGGAATACTAAAAAAAAAAAACACAAATCTTTTATTTTTAATGCAAAAGAATTTAAGAACCTTTCAGAAGTCTGTTTAGAGACATTTTAAAGAGCCATATTGAAGTTTTTTCTGGCATCACCTATTCAAATGTACCAGGAAAGAATGGAGTTTTTATTCAAGAATAGAATACTTTTATTGTTATTCTATTTGGGGAGACAACTTTAAGTCTAATATATCCAGGAACTATGAAAAGTTTGTGTGAGCTTAAAGAAATCCAGAAAATTACCATCAATCTCCTCTGAGAATTTCTTAATTGAAAAATCGAATGGTTCTTTTTTGTATTCAATAATAAGTTATCTTTGCTGACATGAAGGATGTCTTTTCATGGAACAACAGAAGTTAAGAAGGGTAGATATGGAATGATATTTTCTATACTTAATGCTTTCTCATTTCCCAGTTTTTAAAGAATAGATTGTAGTACTCTTCTTGCTCATTTCCCCTTCCCCCCACTGGAATAAATCAGAAACAAATGAAGAGGATAAATATTTAGTTGGCTCTTTAAAATTATTCTTTTTATGACAATTTGAAGATTGGTTCCCTCTGTATTAATATTGATGCAATGCTGAAAAGTCCTCTGAAGATTGAATAAAGACATTTTTTGGCTGATTACTTTTTTTAATTTTAGAAAACTCAATTATTGCTCCTCTCATGACTTTATTACTATGCTACTTATTTGTTATTTCCTTCTCCCACATCTTAGTTTATATTTATAGCTCTTTGGTGAAAGAAACTTCCTGACAGTCAATTAAATATTGACAGAAATAATAATAGCCACTGATTTTTTTATGTCCAAAAGAACTTATGTGTCTTAACATGGCTTAGTTTTCATAAGAGTGTAGTGATGGAATTGGAGTTCAAAATTACCCTGGGCATTTTCTATGTATAAGAAATATAAAACATATTAGAAGAATATACTTTGACATGATTAAATTTGTTTACAGATGAATTGAATCCATTAAAAAAAATCTGAGTTACAAAATTTTATAGATAGTAAGTTGTTTTTTTGACCATCATAAATAACTAGTTTGCTCATTTTTGATGAGGAGAGAATGCTTTGTTTTTCTCCGACAAATGCTGCAAAAGCATTTTTGGTTGAAAGATTTTTTAATTAATGTACCTTTTCAAGATTAGAATTTAGGAAAAAGAAAAGATATCCCATGCTCCTCATAACTTCTTGATTTTTCTGTGATTCGAATTCTTTTCTCAGTTGGATCCTACTCATATAAATTTGATAACTTTTGTAGATCTTGAGTTCATCAAGAAGAAATAGGAATGGGAATTTTTAGTTGAAGGTGAAAGTTATGCTTCCAAATGTGACTGCCTTGTGTTACAATATTCCTATGAGCGCACAGATTTTTTTTAATTCCTCGAACTGAATTTGCTATGGTTTTCAAACTTCAAAGATATGTGCTTACAGATACAGCCAATTAAATGTGGAAGGATAGACATCATATACATCTACTTGGCAGCTTTTCTTCACTGTGTTAAATACTGTGAAACATCATTGTCAGCATATATTGAGTAAGAACTTTTATAATTCCTACAAAAGTGAAATTATATTGCAAATATGAAAGTTTTCTGGCTTAATGTACCAGTAAAAATAATCTAGCTTAATAAACTGAACCTCTAGAAGACGTCAGTAACTATTCACAATCAGTTTCTAGCAGTTGTCTCTTCGTTTTCCTTGGTTTCTTCTGTTCAGGATATATTAATTTCATCATTGCAAATTAGTAAATACATACAATAAAAACACACACACAGTGTAAATAGTTTTGGGAATTGTATGGAGACTGGCCTTCTGGGTTCCACGTTTAATTTGCTTAAAATAGCACACAGCCAGCTAATTAACAAAGAGCCCGGCCTGGTGGCCTAAACGAACGTGAGTTCACCTTCTGCCGTGTCTTTATGCTCCAGCTGTTGACTTGGCGTGCATTGCTAGTGTATTAATTTTAGTAATGCACGTTCTAATTCATCCTGCCCATACAGTCTGTCTGCTGGACACAGGACTGTTTTCAGTTTCCTCCTTCCAACCGTCTGCCAAATCATTTCAGAATACATTCTTTCATATGCCCCGGCTCTCAAACCATTTGGAGCAAAGTCCCTCACCTATCCTGGAGACACTACTTCTGCCCTGGTGGATGGTCTGCAGCCTGGGGAACGCTATCTTTTCAAAATCCGGGCCGCAAACAGGAGAGGCCTGGGGCCTCACTCCAAAGCCTTCATTGTCGCTATGCCAACAAGTAAGCATCATGTGTTTGTGGCTCCGTTTCTTCTCTCTCTCTTCATCCCTGCCATTTGTTTTGTGTTTCTTTGAATCATGCTCTTGGGTGCAGAACTGCTCAGTTAATGGCTTTACGGGGCTAAGTTTGCATATTGATTTCTGAAATATCTTTGTGGTCCCTTTAGAAATTAGTCTCCCCAAAGACTAAAATGCTATCTTTACTGATAACATTAATTATTATTACAATTTTATTAATGTATTGATTATATGATTAATCTTATATCATTGTCTAATTGGGGGCTTATGGTGGCAGGGAAAGAAGATTTTTACAAATGTAATGTGACATTTCTAATTGTTCGTTGGCTCTCTTCAACTTCTACATAGCTTTTAAAATTTTTAGTTCATATTCCATTATTTTGGAGTGCAGATTTACTCAGATGAAGTTCAGTTGCCTAGTTTATCTGATCAGTATCAAAACCAAACAAGTTACTAAAGATCCAAGAGTGGAGTGGAGTGTTTTGGGACTGTGTTTTCTTTTCCGCTTCCCCACATTTATGCCAGACACTGGCAGCTTGCACCTTCGTTGTGCTGTGAGGACCCTCAGTGCACCACGCTAGTAGACAGTTTTGTCCTGGAAAAAACTGTGAAGTAGATGCAGTTTGCTCCTTCTGGGTCCCCCACTGCTGTATAGATGCCCCTCCCTCCCAGCATCCCTTCCTTCTCAATCCTGCTCTCAAGACAAAGTGACTTGTAGGGTACATTTTATACAATGTTTTCGCCTATCCCAGGAGTCTTTGTTTTAAGCCTTACTTTGGATTTACAAATGTATCCATTATGAAAGGAATTTTAAGCAAGAAGAAGCGAGCAAGTAAGGACACGTTGGGGAAAAGGGAACTCTTTGGCATGCCTCAAAAATTACAAATTTGTTGCTCACCCTGGTCACTTGCAAGTCACATGTGACAGAGTCCCATATAGTTTTGAGCATAGATCATTCAATGTTTTGTACCAGGCTTACACATATTTCTTGCCTAGTAAGAAGAGCTATAATGCATTTGTGATATACTGACAGTTATATCAAGGAAGTCCCACATAAGATTATGCATTTACAAAATCGGGGAATTACAGTCAGCCTCCCACATATGTAGGGGTTTGGTTCCAGGACCCCCTGTATATATCAAAATCCATGTAAACTCAGGTGCTACAGTTGGCCCTGTGGAACAGGTTATAAGAAAAGTGGGCCCCCGGCATATACGCGGGTTCTGCACCCCACAAATACTGTATTTTCCATCCACAGTTGGTTAAAATCTCCAAGTGTGGAACCGGTGTATAGGTGGACCCCAGCACTTCAAATCCGTGTTGTTCAAGGGTCCACTGTACTTCAAAGTACGCATTTCAGAATTCCTTCAAATAATAAGCTCTGACAACCTGATTCAACTCATATTCTTTAAGACTACATCTGTTACTTAAAGCAAAATATAAGTTTTTTTAAAATGCTGTAATTAGGAAAATATACTTCCAGTGTTCTAGGGAATGAGAAGTTGTCAACTATGATGACCGATCTGAAACTCCTCTGTACCGCCACGTTAAATACTCACTTTGTTGCACAGCTTTTGAATTTCTTCTCTGACGGTCAATTCTTCAACCTCCGTTACAGCCAGCAGCAGTGAGTCGAATGCTCAGCAGAACACCGAGGATAATTGGAAGCCTGAAAACCCCGGGCCTTCCTCACCTTCTCCCAGAGTTCCAGCTTCCTCAAAACACACTCATATGCCTGTTTCTCCTCGTGGGAGAAATGTCAAGGATCCTCTTCTTGACTTGAAAAACAAAATATTGGCTAATGGTGGGGTGTCCAGAAAACCCCAGCTTCACCCAGAGAAGACTGAAGAGTTGGATCTTCAGTCAATGGAAGTTACGGACCAGGAGGAGCTGCGTTCTCTGGGGGACCCACCAACGTCGCCTGCAGAGACCCTGGACCAGAGGCAAACCCTGAGGCCACCAAGTAGATCTGGCCCCTTGGCCACTGCTCCTGGCAGGACTCCATGGTGGGCCCGAAGCCCCGTGCTGCCCCGCAAAGAAGGTGTGGATCAGCGCGGCTCCTCAAGAGCCACTTACCCTCGTGCAGGGGTGGCCCTCGCAGGGACGGCCTCTCCTGCGCACCGCGTGGCCACCCAGGGCACCTCTCACCGCCCTTCAGAGGGGTCCCGTGCCAACCTGGCTGCCAGCTCTGCTGACAATGACTTGGTGGACCGAGATGAGGATGAGCGAGCTGCAGGCTCCCTCCACCCCAAGGACGCCTCCTCTGAGCAGCTGTCCCCCAAGACCCCTGCCCAGCCCCAGCCAGCCTTGTCCCCCAGCCACCAGCCGGCCTACAGCGTCCTGCAGCACAGAAGCTCCGTGCTCCATGGCACAAACCCAGCCTCGCCTGCGTGGAGGGCACCCCATCCTGGGGCCGTGGAGGAAGATTCAGGCGCTCCAGCCTCCACCTCCAGACTTTCTTCACTCCATAGGGGGTCATCTCAGCTGCTGCCCACCCACCCACACACAGGTCCTTTGCTCTCCGGGGACTGGAAGGATGGTCACGACGCCCCAGCCGCCAGTGCACCATCACGGTCTACCATGTCTTCTTTAGTCTCCTCTCATCTCTCCTCGAGGACACAGGTCTCTGAGGGAGCAGACCCTTCTGACGGAGGGGATGACAGTGACAGGGATACAGAAGACAGCAGCCGGCAGGCGGAGGCCCCCGCCCCGACTCTGCGGCTGGGGCCTGCCCCTGGACACTCGGGCCTGCTCAGAAGCAAGCCCTTTGCTGCCAGTGGCCGGTCTCCAAGCAGGGTGGGCGGCGTTCGGGGCCTGCGGCTGCAGCCCTCGGGCTCCCCGCAGTCCACCGCATCCTCCCGAGTGCACCCCCGGCTTCGTTCTCCCCCTGCCTCCCACCCCAGGCGTGGCTCCGGTATCCATGGAGACGGGGAGGATGAGAAGCCACTTCCTGCCACCGTGGTAAATGACCACGGGCCTTCCTCCTCCAGGCAGCCAGGCTCTCGGAGCTGGGACCCCCTAAGAAGGGCCCCCCAGAGAGGGGCCAGCCTGCTCCGGAAGGAGCCCGTCCCAGAGAGCCCCAAATCCACCGGGACAGACGCGCATCCTCGGGGCAAATCCTCACCCCTGTCCTCTAAGGCCCAGGACGTTCAGCAGAGCACAGACGACGTGGAGGGTCGTTCCCCCCAAACACAGCCAGTGTCCACGAGCCGCCAGCTGTCCCCTGCCGCAGGTCCCGCAGCAGTGTCCCAGTCCCACCCAGGGGCCAGTGTGCCCAGAAGGATGACACCCGGCCGGGCCCCAGCAAAGCAGGCCCCTCCGCCTGCCACCGCGTCCCAGCGCCAGCCCCCCCCTGAAGAAGGTAACCTGCTCAATTAGTAGGCTGCATTTCAGAGTGGGGTGGCAGACCTGCAGGGGAGGGTGAGTAAGTACTGTGCACGGCAAAATGGCAAGTAGAGGTAGGTTTAATCCCAGCGGGTTTGTTTGACAGCGCTGTGTCACAACGAGCGTTATCAGACTTAGCAAAAGAAATTATTGCATGGGGCATACTTATACCAAAAAGTTCCTTGCTGTTTATCTAACATTCAAATTTAACTGAATATCCTGTGTTTTATCTGGCGAGCTTTGTACAACCTGAATCAAAAATTTAGCTGAAACTTGTGACATTATCAATTTGGATTAGTGTTTCCCAAAGTGTGTTAGTAGATTAGTAGTTATTATGTTTATAAAAGAAGAAGGTTCTGTGGTTAACTATGTGATTTCAACAAGGTTCAATCAATTTCTTACTTGTGGATGGTTTAGATCATTGAATAGTCTCATTTTGAATCTTCAAGAAAAGTAGTGTTTCCCAGGTGCGTTTGGCAACCAAACACTTTTTTGATCAGCCCTCCCTTTGGAAAGTTCTGATCCTCATGTGGCTGGACTTCTCGTGGGAAAGTGGCTCTCCACTCGTAATAACTTCGTATAGCATACATTATACGAAGTTATACGAGAAGGACGCAGCCCGCGCCCCGGCGGCCCCCGCCGGCCAAAGCCCGGCCCTGGGCCTCGGCCGAGCAGGAGGTGGAGGAGCACGCGGGCTTTTCAAAAGCAGGAAAGGAAGACCCTCTGTCGTCCTCCGTCCCCGGGGGCGGCAAAGACGCTGATGGGGGCCTCTCCAAGGACAGGAAGGGGCCTGTCGCCGGGCCCGCTCCTGGCGAAGAGAGCGCCGCGCCCGGGGAGCCGCCTGTCCCCCGACCTCCGGGCAGCGCCCCAAGAGCCTCACGCCTCCCTCCCCGACACCCCACTCGCAGCCCTGCCACCCCAAGTCCCAGCGTCGCTCCCCCGTCCTGGCCGCAGGACACGTCCCGCGCCCCTCCCAGCTACGCCTCCACCACCCCTATGCTGTCCCTGCGCCAGCGGATGATGCAGTCGAGATTCCGGAATCCGCTCTCGCGCCAGCCGGTGAGACCCGCTTACAGACAAGGTAATTGGTTTTCAAAAACAGTCGCTTAGCCTCTTGTTCTAAGGTGCTCAGGAGTGTTCACGGCAATTCCTGAGAGGTTTTATTTTATCTTATTGTATTATTGAGCAGCCGCCATGTCCAAGCACCGTGTTAAGAGCTTAGCACGTGTCACATCATTCTCTTCACCACCTGGTCGGGTTTGCAATGTTTCCAGATGGGCAAGCGAGGTCTCGGGGATCTGAGTGGCTTGCACTTCATCTGAGCTACGATTCCAATCCCAAATGCTTAAATGCCACAGCCCTCTGCTATTCCGCTATCCCATATTGCCTCATTGAATTCCTTGACATGTGCTCTTAATCTGTGAAAATGCCATAGCATGATGCCAAACTCAGGTTCCTGTATTCTAGGTTCTTTTTAGTTGTTCATGTGCCAGTGTATATTTAAGGAATTTGCAGTAATGAATTAGACATTTATATAGGCTAGTTTTTGTTCTTATCTTGTTATTGTCTTTTGCATGCAAAACTCTGAGCCAAACCTACCCTAGAACAAACTCAGATGTCTTGGGTATGAATTGCTCACACATTGTAATCAGTGAATGTTGCCTGAAACCTCCAGAAAATGCATGTTAAAGGTGATTGTCACACAGAGGAGTCACAGGCAAATGTGTGCCTTGTATTTCTATAACAGAGGATAGAATGTGGACAGCTATGAACTGGAGTCTTATGTTGACCCCAGGGCAGTGTCTAAGGTATTTCCCATAAATTTGCTTTCAGTTGAGTGGCACCTTGAACTCTCCTGGCAGGTAATTTGGAGCTTCATAGAACATTTTTGAATGAATGCATCAATATTGTTAACTTACACAATACATTGTTATTTTAACTCAATGTAAAGACATAGAGCAACGCCCCACATGGAGTTCAGTTTTCCACTGAGATTGACCTGTTTTAAGCAAACCTAAGATCCTGATAATAGCTGTGAAACTCAACATTCTCTTGAACATAGCAGGAACTCAATAAATATTTAATGAATAAGTGAATGAGTGAGAGAAATAAAGTCTCTGACCTGCACATAGTTGTCAGAAAGCCCAAGTGCTTTATCCAGTGGGTGAGGCTGGACCACAGGGCACTCCCCGCTGAGGCCTCACATGGTTTAGCTGATGCAAAAGGGCCTGAGGTGGGGACAGACAGAAAGAACTGAAAGGGCAGCTGCTTCTCCTGCTCATTCTCTAAGCAGATGCTCGGGAGCCCACGGAGTTCAGCAAGCCCAGAGACGGCACTGTGCATTATATTTGGCGACTGATGGGTAGGACCTGAGTCAGCTAGAAATAGTTGTCACGTTTAGTATAACATGCTGAGAAAAGCAGGACAGCGTCTAATACATTTTAGAGATATTTTTTTCTGTCCTTCTAACCCTTCCTCCCTCCAACTTCCAATTGGCTAAAAAAACTACAGCTACTAAGGTCTTAAGCTTTGTATGGAAAATTTACTTATGTCAAACACTATCTTTCCCCCAGTATTGTCAGAAAACTGACTGTATTAGTCAGAGTTCTCCAGAGAGATAGAACCGATAGGACATGTACATGGACATATGAGAGGGGATTTATTAGGGGAATTGGCTCACGTGATTATGAAAGCTGAGGAGTCCCATGACAGGTGGTAGCATGGCTCAGTCCAAGTCCAGAAACCTCAGAACCAGGGAAGCTGATGATGTGAGTCCAAGGCCAAAGGCCTGACAGCCGGGGGTGCCACTGATGTAAGCCCTGGAACCCAAAAGCTGAAGAGTCTTGAGTTGGGATGTCCACGGACAGGAGAGAAGAGTGTATCCCAGCTCCAGAGGATACAGCGAGAGATTCGACTTTTCCTCTGCTTTTGTTCTTTGGGCGCCCAGCAGATTGGATGGTGCCTGCCCATATTGGGAGTGGGTCTTTCCCACCCAGTCCACTCAGGCTGTCATGCTAATCTCTGGAAAACCCTCACAGACACACCCAACACTAATGCTTTACCAGGTTTCTATGTATTCCTTAACCTAGCCAAGGTGACACCTAAAATTAACCACACAGTGACTTTACTGTACTCTTAATAGTCACAGTTGAAGACTACCATTACCTAACACATATGAGCTATTGGTTTAAAATTCTGTTTAGAGTTTCGATTTGAAATGATGTTTGGTGTGAAGCCAGCTTTCCAAGAATGTTGAATTTACCAGGTTCTGTTGCTTTTATTTTTTGTACTGTGTAGGTTACAGTGGCAGATCAAATGTAGAAGGGAAAGTACCTCCTGGTAGTAATGGCAAACCGAATGGACAAAGAATTATCAGTGGCCCTCAAGGAACAAAGTGGGTAGGGAAAACTTCTTTACACATACCAGTTGTCATGCTAATGGCAAGAGAAGCGTGGTGGACATTGTGTAACAGTGAAGTCGTCTTTTTCTCTTCTTCTCTAGTTTTAACCACTTCCATATGAACATACTTGTATGTAGTTTCTTCCAATGCTCAGAAAAACCTTTGATTCTCCTGAGTAACTAGTTTGCTTTCCTCTCATGGCTGAGATAAGTCATGGGCCTTTGTTTTCCATTTGCCGTGGCTGGTTAGAAAGGTCCAGCCCAACCTCAGCAATTCCATAGAACCTGATGAATGGCCTCTCAAATGAACTTGTATTTTCCCTGTCCTGATAGCTTTATTTTATTTTTATTTTTTGTTTGATAAAATGTTACACATATTTTTGGTATCTCAAATCCTTTCTACAAGGAAACAAGGTAAAAACAAACAAACAAAATCCTTGAGTTGTATAGGCAATTTTTATCAGATCGCCTTTTAAATCTTTCAGCAATTGTAGTTTGGCTAAAGTTATGTATTAACACTTTATGTATATCTAAACTAAATACTTTAACTGCTTGGGGTTAAGGTACATGTTTAGGGGTTTTTGGTGCGTTAAGGGTAACAGACGGAACACTTTATAATGTTCAGGGATTGGAAATATTTTTTCGAAGAATCAAAAAAAATTATTGATAGTGGAATTCCCAGTCAAAAGTTGCCATTTGTAACATTAAAGGACTTTGTGAAATTTTCAGTCACAAGTGATCTAAAGATGCATTTTACCGTTTCTCAAAGGAACAGAAATTCATAATAGGAAGAATGCAAATTGAAGCAAAATGTCATTACAAACAATTTTGAATTGAAACAGTATGGAGTGAATTTCAAAAGTCGGTTTTATATGAATAAATTTTAATTACTGAAACACCACCCAACAAAGTGACCTACTTGTAGGGCTTCCTCCAGTGGCCTGATTGTGCAGAGCAGTGGTTCTTGAATGTTAGCCAGCTCAGGATCACTGGAGAGCTGGTCACATGCAGGTCTGGGGTAGAACCAGGTGATTTGTGTATCTGACAAGTTCCCAAGTGATGCTCTGAGGCTGCTAGTCCAAGCCTATGCTTCGAGAACCACCAGCGAAGGGCATGAGCTTGTTCCTTGATAGAGATAATAATAGCTCTTTTCAAGTTTCACAGTTTCTTAGAATATGACATTTTTGCCTGCATAATGTATTAGGAATGTTACAAATTGAATTGTTTTTGTTATAATAACTGATTTTTAACATTAACAGCAAAATGAAAACATTTTATGTTTTTAATACACTAGAAGTACATGTTCATTGCAAGAATTTAAAATAATTCAGAAATATATGAAAAAGAAAGTAAGCATCCTTCACTCCAAACCACTTCTTAAAGGCAACCACTGTTGACAGTTGGGGGTGTATCCCTCAGAATTTTTTCCCTGCAGTTTTAAGCTTATATACACAAATATATATATTTTTTATTTTTGCAAAATAATCAGTCCTGTAATCTGAGTAGGCATCAGCAAAGGTCAATATATGTAGAATTCCCATGTCCTTTTTATTGGCTGCATAGTATGCCACAGCATGGATGGGCCATACTTTATTTAATCTCTTCCCGCAATTGATGGACACTTAGGCTGTTTCCTCCTTTCCACCGTTAGATATAATGTACTTAATGGTAGAAATATGTTGAACGTATTTTGAATATTTGAGAACCTTAAAATAATTTACATATTATATGGGTAAGCAGTTATAATATGAAATATGACTGTTTTGTGCTTTTTTTTAAAACCTTGCAAATGATACGACAAAAAGAATGTCCTCTCCTCACATTACTGTGTCCTTCTGTGGAAGTGTCATTCATATGTATGTGTAGTTGGACTAATGTGAACATTTCAAAATGTCCAATGTGTTCTTTAATCTGTGTCATGGATTTAGGTCGTGGATCTTGACCGTGGGTTAGTACTGAATGCGGAAGGAAGACACCTCCAAGATTCACATGGAAATCCTCTCCGGGTTAAACTAGGAGGTGACGGTCGAACCGTTGTGGGTAAGTGAGAGTGGTTTTTAATGAGCTTAGTGTATTTGGTTAGCTGTACAAAAACAACTCCTCTCTTCTTCTTCCCCCTCATTGGTAATGGTTGCCCTTGGGCCATTACTTTTAGCCATGTGGAAAGAAGAGCTTCAAAAGAGTCAGCGTTTAGCATTTTCCTCATGCACTTTTAGTTATGCTCTTCCTGCAGACTCCACCCTCTAGAGAATGTGGCCTTCTACTTTGTTCTTGAAATTGGGCGGTTTAGAGCAGGGGTCTGCAAGCTTAGGCCAACTGGCCAAACCCTGTCCGCTGCCTGTTTTTGTAAGGCCTGTGAGCTTAGAATAATTTTTACATTTTTAGATAACTGCAATAACAAAAAAAAAATATTTTGTGGCATGTGATAATTATATGAAATTCACATTTCAGTGTCTATACACAAAGTTTTATTGAAACACAGAATCATTTATTTACGTATTGTCCAACTTATTGGTTATGTCCTGTTTATGTACTGTCTATTGCTGCAACAAAGACCAAGAGGTGTCTCCTCAAAGCTTAGGTACCCTAAGCTTTAGTAGGATACGTTAGTGCACTTAGGTACCCTAAGCTTTAATAGGGCACATTAGTGTACCCTATTATCAGGGAGAAACACTCATGAAATATTTATATGTTTCTATAAGGTAATACAGAGTAATGGACAATATAATATAAGCCCAGAAATTTCTGGATAGCAACAGATATCCAGCTGATATTCTTTTAATTATTCCTTTGCCCTTCATTGATTAAAAACAGAATAATACCTAAGCTTTGAGGAGACACTACTTGCTTTTTATTTCCTCTGGATTGTTTTCACCTTGTTGCATAGCTCTTGGTTAATTTGTTTCAGATCTGGGAGGGACCCCCGTGGTGAGTCCAGACGGCCTCCCCCTCTTTGGGCAGGGGCGACATGGTAAACCCCTGGCCAGTGCCCAGGATAAACCCATTTTGAGTCTTGGAGGGAAGCCCCTGGTGGGCTTGGAGGTCATCAAAACAACCACCCAGTCCCCCACGACAACCGCAAAGCCTACCACTGCTTTGACCCCTCTGCCTACCACCACAACCCCACGGCCCACAACGGCCACCACCCGACGCATGACCACGACCCGCCGCATGACCACCACCCGCCGCACGACCACCACCATGCGCCCAACGACCACAATCCAAACCACTACACAGACAACCACCACCACCACTGAACCTACCACCCCCGTCCCCACCTGTCCCCCTGGGACCCAGGAACGGCATGACGATGGCGGCAACCTGATAATGGGCTCAAATGGAACCCCCGAGTGCTCCCCTGAAGAAGGTAACCTGCTCAATTAGTAGGCTGCATTTCAGAGTGGGGTGGCAGACCTGCAGGGGAGGGTGAGTAAGTACTGTGCACGGCAAAATGGCAAGTAGAGGTAGGTTTAATCCCAGCGGGTTTGTTTGACAGCGCTGTGTCACAACGAGCGTTATCAGACTTAGCAAAAGAAATTATTGCATGGGGCATACTTATACCAAAAAGTTCCTTGCTGTTTATCTAACATTCAAATTTAACTGAATATCCTGTGTTTTATCTGGCGAGCTTTGTACAACCTGAATCAAAAATTTAGCTGAAACTTGTGACATTATCAATTTGGATTAGTGTTTCCCAAAGTGTGTTAGTAGATTAGTAGTTATTATGTTTATAAAAGAAGAAGGTTCTGTGGTTAACTATGTGATTTCAACAAGGTTCAATCAATTTCTTACTTGTGGATGGTTTAGATCATTGAATAGTCTCATTTTGAATCTTCAAGAAAAGTAGTGTTTCCCAGGTGCGTTTGGCAACCAAACACTTTTTTGATCAGCCCTCCCTTTGGAAAGTTCTGATCCTCATGTGGCTGGACTTCTCGTGGGAAAGTGGCTCTCCACTGGGTAAGAATGCACTATTTCCCTGCTTTGTGAGGCCTGATCTGGACTATCCTGTTCCCCTAACATCTGTCTGTCTTCCTACTGAGAAGGGCTCCTTCTCCCTAAAGAATGGGAGCTTGACCATGCTCGTCCCGGTTGTGGTGGAGCCGACATGTCCTCGTCCCTTTTGCTCAGTGTCCTGTTCAGACTGCTTTGGAAGAGGTCATCCTACACATGCGTCAGGCTTGGAGGAGATGAGTCCACCCTCTTTCTCTTGCGTTGAAATGAATTGCAACATAGGCTGCAAAGCTTATATGTCTTTTTAAGCTAATGCAGAGTGAAGCCCCTTCATTTCAAGAATATTTGCGTGCCTGGAATTCTTACACAGCGTTATTGACCATGATAATAATCCCAATCAATCCGAACCTGACTGCTTTATCCAAAATGAGAATTCTGTTTAAAGTCAGTCGTTCTGTGGAAAAGTTTCAAATGAACAAGAAAACTTTGACACATCTAAAAATTTACACCAGAGAACAAGGAAACATACAGAGGAAGAGGACGACTGGGAAGAAAATTATCATAGTTTTCCCAGTGAGTACAAACTTGAATTTACTTTTGGATTTCTGGTATTAAAATATTATGTTACTTTTCTTGACTTCTTACTTCCCCATATATTAATGAGTTTAATTGTATAAACTAAAGTGTAATTAAAACAGAAAATGAATCATGGCTTGTAAACAGAAGAGTGACTTGTGTATTTGGTTTTAATCACTGTTATTATTTTGCATATTATTTTGTGAGTTTTTATCTAGGCCATCTAGCATGTTCTTTTCATTTATTTTATACTTTTGGACTTCTATTTGGCATGAAAGTTAATATTTTTCTTGGCATTTTTGCCTCTTCTTTTCTTTGCAAATCATGATGTATGAATACTTTTTAGTTCACTCATGTCCATTCTTGTGATTCCCTAGTCCAAGCCAAAGAATAATTTGCTTCTAGACAGCATTTTAAAAATAAGTACAAATTAATACAAAATCTTGGGAAAAAAATAAAATTTGGGGACAGCAACATATCATTCTCATACAGTTTTTTGGGGGCAGCTGGCAGGTTTGGGGATCTGAACCTTTTGCCTCGGTGTTCTCAGCACCACACCCTAACCAACTGAGCTAACCAGCCAGCCCATCTTACAGTATTTTAATGTACTATAATTGATTATTTTAAAAATACTTCTCTATGGCCTCTCTTCCTTTTTGTTTCTGCCGTCCTACTAAAAACTTTAGTAAACATTTTCTTCCTTGTATCAATTCCAATCATAATTATTTTTATCTTTTAATTTTTAAGCCACTTTATTGAGGTGTGATTGACATATAAAGAGCTGCACATATTTAATCTTTACAACTCGTTGAGTTTGAGATAAATACATACTCTTAAACTTTCACACCATCAAGGCCACAGATATACCCATCACCTCCCAAAGTTTCCTCCCATCCCTTTGTTCTTAGTATTATTTCTCTTTCTTATCACAAAAGTGGTAATTTATTATTTTGTGTGGCAAAAATTAAATTAAAAAATTTTTTAAATAATAGCATTATTGAGATATAATTCACATACCACAAAGTTTGTCCTTTTAATGTTAGTGGTTTTTAGTGTATTTGCAGAGTTGTGCAATCATCATCACTATCAAATTCCAGAACATTTTTATCACCCCAGAAGAAACTCCATACCCATTAGTAGTCACTGTCCGTTCCTCCCTCCTCCCAACCCCCGCAAACTACTAATCTACTTTCTCTATGGATTTACTTATTCGGGACATTTTATATAAATGCAATCGTACAATATGTGGCTTTTTGTGTCTGGCTTCTTTCACTTAGCGTAATTGTTTTCACGGTTCATCCACATTGTAGAATATACCATTCTTTTTATTCCATTGTGTGGATAGACCAGATTTTATCCACTCATCAGTCAATGTCATTTGGATTATTTCCACCTTTTGGTTATTACGAATGATGCTCCTACAGCATTTGTGTACAAGGCTTTTTTTGAATACCTGTTTTCAGTTCTCTTGGGTAAATAGCTGGTAGTGTCATTGCTGTATCGAATGGTAACTCTGTGTTTAATTTTTTGAGGAACTGCCAAACTGTTTTCCACCATAGCTACACCCTTTTACATACTCACCCTTGTACCTGTGACGCGTGAGGTCCCAGCTTCTCTGCTTCTCACCAACGCTTGATGTTATTTATGTGTGCTTCCTCCTTTGTTGTGGACGGCCTGCTTCTGCGTATATTTCTGTAGGCGTAGGTGCATGTCAGTGCTTGTTTCCGTGTGTTGTTGCATTTATCTCTCTCTCTTTACACACACACACACTTTTTTTTTTTTTTTTGCTTGATCTGACTCCTCCATTTGATAGCAAACTTCTCGCAGTCAAGACAATATCTTCTCCTTCATCTCTAACTGCTTGTGGTTTATAATTATGCATCTTTCGGTATGTAACAATTCTTTAAGGTATAGGCATTCTCCATTTTCTAACTGAGAGGTAAAAGTCAGTGATCTTTGTTTTTCAGGTTCTGCTTCCAAGGTAGATCTGATGATTTCGTGTGTGTTTGCAAATGTTACGAGCCAGCTGAACATCTTCAAGAATTAGTAACATGACCTTGTTGCATGTTGCAGAAAAACATCTGTCATGATGGAAAACTGTTCTACCCTGCCACAGCTCACTCTCGGGACAGAAAATACAGAGAACATAACTGAAAACTGACTTGAGTTGGGTCAGCCATACAGTGTGCAAATACCCTGAGTTTCGTTTACCTTCTCTCTCTAAAATTCTCCTAACTTTTTTCATATTTTTTAAATATCTCTGGAACTGAGGTCCTACTTCTCTGGGGACATTTTGCACCTATTTTTTCCTGACATTTGGATAAACTCCTGAAGAAAGTAAACTACACCACCCTGGTGGATACCTGGTAGCTACTTTTATATGAAGAGGTTGAAGCTTTTGACATTGACATTTGGCTAAAAGTAATAATGAAAAGAAATGAAACTGAACAAATAATGCGGAAAGCAAGACTATGTTCCTAAAAGTTAAATGGACCAGGGAGGGAAATGGTAGGCCAGGAACCATGGCAAGATAAACCCAAACTTTAAGGGGTGTGACCTGAAATTCTCTAATTTGAACCAGCCCAGAAGTAATTTGTCTTAAATCCAGGCATATTGACACTGAATGACCTAAGGAAAAATTGCATTTAATAGTTTTCCATGAAATGACCATCCTGCCCCAATGGGTGGATAATCTGCACCTTCTTTCTGGTAACATTCATTGAGATTCGCCCAGGGTCGTTGATGGCCTCAAGGGTGGAGCAGGTGCAGGAGCACCTCCCGGCCTCTGAATGGTGGCTGTGCTCCGTCTTGCTGTGTTCCACAGAAGGGCTGGACAGACAGCTCAAGGTTGCCAGTATCCTTCTCTGGTGGCGTTTATTTTGGCAACATAACATTAACATTCATGGTGCTATTCAAAGTAGGTTCAAGAAAAACTGGTAGAATAATTACAATGGAGTTTATATACTTTCTCCTTTCCCCTTTGTTACAAGTGTGGGATGATGATTCTAATACAGAACCTTAAGTTTACAACAAATTTGATTGGTTAGGTCAACTTTTAAAAAGTGGAGGCAGTTTCATGAAGTATAAAGTACACAGTCTTTGGAGCCAGAAGGCTTGAAGTTCACCTTCTGTTTCTGCTGTCATTTACCAGCTGTGTCTCCAGGCACATTGTTAATCCTCTCAGAGCCTTGGTGTCCTTGCCTTTGAAATAGATACGATAAGTCCGATGGATCTGGAGGGTTTGTTGTAAGGATTAACTCAAGCAGTATTTATGTAATTATGGGCCTGGTGTGCAGAAGGCATGCAGTAAATCATAGTTACCTCTTCCCGTCGCCCCCATCTCATCCGCTGTTAAGAGTGCATTGAGTTTAGAGGGTTCTATATTGTTGCTGTGGGCTTCAGGTCACAAGGAGGGAAGGAATTCCTCTGAATTTTTTGTTATAAAATCTTTTGCCCCAAGATTTTATCAACCAAGTGAGATGTTCTCCTTATTTACAGTTGTGTTTATATCTCCAAGTAGAGAAATAAGATAATTGATTTCATCACAACTGCTTGAAAAGACTTCTGCTTAAACTACCCCCAAAAAGGAGGCAAAACTGTCTTTTTATGCTTAAATCACTCACTTTTCTTCAATTCCTGTCATTACAGGAATGTTAATACTAGGTCTTCTAACTGGGGTTTCCTGGAAGACTTCAAAAAATCACACCTGAAATTCTATAAATTGCATGTGAAGTCTAATTCTGTAGTCATGATAGATCTAGAGTTTGGTAAAGCCCAGTCCGTGTAAAAAGAAAAACTTGTCATCAGTGATTGGCATGTTATTTCCAAACTTCCCATGCAAGTTAAGAAATCTCACTGGTACAGATGTGTCCTGGAGTCGGTGAGAGAGGGTGGAAAAGCCCGGGAGACTCGCCTTGGTGCGGTGTGCCACACTGGAATGTAGGAGAGGCAGGAGGTCACCCTGCTTTTAGGATATCCCAGAGGCAAGATGGGAGGAGGATGACAATCCATGAACAGAAGAGTCTACCTGTGAAGAGATTTCTGTCACCGGCCTGAGCACCAGCCACCCACTCTGCTCTCCCTCTGCTGGTGGCTTTCTGAGAATGCCTGTTTGCGGCCTGTGGCTGAGACCCCGGCCCTCCCCTCCATGTTCAGAGCTGGGCAGTGGGGTGACAGGCCCAGGGTGGCAGGCGGGAGGCCAGGGACGGCTCGTGGTGCTGGCAGGGCCGGAATGCAGGGCAGGGTGCTTGCTCCGGATCCCTGAGGGCATTTGGGTTGCCCTTTTCTGAGCCCAGAGAAGAGCACGGTGTGGTCCCATTGCGGTGCTCTGATGCTCTCCCTTCTGAAAAGCAGAAGAGAGCCTGGCCCTGGCAACTCGTCTGCATGACCCGCTCCTGCTGCAGGAATTGCCGGGAGCCCAAGTGTGAGAGCATGGCTGTGAAGAGACCCGGGGCCTCTGACCCCCTGTCCCTCTCTCTCCCTTCACCAGATGAGTTCTCTGGCTTGGAGACTGACACGGCAGCACCCACAGAAGAGGCCTACGTTGTATACGATGAAGGTACAAATGGATTTTAAAGCGTTATTAGGACGCTTTCTTTCCTGATCAGAGGATTTTATTTTCATTGCTAAGTGGGTGACCTTGATTGCGGTTTCCTTCAGAACTCTGGGCCGGTGGTGATGCCAAGGTCCAGCCCAGGGAAGGTGGGTGTGCTCCACCCTTCCAAGTCACCCCCAAATGCACATTTGATCTGAAGAAGAACAGCATGCTTGATGTGCAAACTCAGCTTCCAAACAAGTCCCTTGCACTGTCCATTCTGTCCCTCCCAACCTTCCTTCCACTAGAGAAATTCTGGAGCTTCTGCCGTCTGGGCTGCCCCTCCACCCCCGTCTATAAAACTACTTGGTGTAGCCAATGTCCCGGCTTCCTTGCTTGGCTCTTCTCTTCTCACTCTTTCCTTTTCTAATTACTTATAAAATGTGATGCGGTAGATGTGTTGTTTACTTATCACAGAATTTTTTCAAGTAAGGACAAGTTCATAAGATTAAAAATACAGAATGCTTTAGACAAGCATCTGAAATAGTCAATGCATGGTAACTAATGTTTTTGTACTCAGGACCCTGCGATTGTTTTGTGTATTTTATAAGTTGCCTCTGCAGATGAAGAAGTTCACATAGGGGGCCGGCCCGGTGGTACACGCTACAGTGCGCCGCTTGGGAGCGCGGCGGCACTCCCACCGAGGGTTCGGATCCCACATACAGACCGGTTCCCACTCACTGGCTGAGCGAGGTGCGGCGCAACACCGAGGGTTGCAATCCCGTTGCCGGTCCCGGTCCGGTACGGGTGCGACACTGAGGGTTGCGATCCGTTGCCGGTCACGAAAAAAGACAAAAAGGAAAAACATAAATAAATAAATAAAAATTTAAAAAAAAAAAAGAAGTTCACATAGGAATCTAGTCCCCATCCAGTGCTGGCCTTTGACACAGGGCTCGGGATTCTCCTGTGCTCCAGCTTGCCTGCTACTGTCCACAGCTGCAGTTGTCTTAAGTCACAACTGTGCAAATGATGTCACCTTTGATGCTTTATTTATTCATAATAAAGTTTGATGTGCTGTCTTAATGCCAAGATTTTCAAACAGAAACTGACTTAAAAGAAAAGCAGCAGATGTTAGCAAGCAAAGGAAGATTTCTTAGCACCTTTGAAAACACTAAGCATCTTTTTAATCTTTGAACAGTTGAAAGGGGAGTGGAGTTTTATTATCTTTTTTAAATGTTAAAAGTTCGTCCTCTTAACAGGATTAATCCCATCCCCCTTCCCAGAAGAAAAACCCATAGTAGAAGATAGATTTTTTAAAAAAAATTCTGACGTGATCATTTTTGACTCTAAAAGGGAAGATTCTGCAGGTAGAGAATCACCTTGGACCAGAGACATGAGCACACTAAAATGGAGTGAGTCTAAGTTGTCTCCAACTCAGATTCTAAAACTCATTTTTCTGGTCATATGTATATCTTTTATCCCTTCCTCTCTCTTATCTGCAGCTGCTTTTCTGAGAGGACTGAAATGGGGAGATAGTATTTATTAGAAACAAATTATGTTTAGGCATAGCATTTATTTGGGGGTGTGTGTGTTTGTGTGTTTGCATCTACAGTTGAATCTTAAGAAGATATCTTTTAACTGCAAATAGTGCCCCTTTTCTGGCAGTGCCCAATTCCAGAGCCTTCATTTCATTTCAGATTATGAATTGGAGACCTCAAGGCCACTGGCCACTACCAAGCCCTCGACCACTGCTGCCACACCCAAGGTCATCCCAGAAGAAGGCTCCATCAGCTCCTTTCCTGAAGAAGAATTCGATCTGGCTGGAAAGAAACGATTTGTTGGTAAATATAACTTCCCTAATCAGAGAAACATGGGTTTTTTAACTTTTGCTCTTTGAAGAGGAGCGTAACTAATCTCTTGGCCTGTACAAGGCGGTGCATTTTGAGAAGAAGTTTTCCCAGAGTGAAGTTTCCATTTGGAGTAATTTAGTGAGTCAGTCCTCCTTAGATATATATTAATTTGCTTTCTGCAAAAGTCAGAAGAGGAGAGGATGCAGAAGAACATTTGGTATCAGACAGAGGAGAGTTCAGAGAGGCTACCTTGTGTGGATTGAGAGTAAGAAACACTTTTAAAAATCATCAGGACCAGGGAACATGAGTATTTTTATTGTAGCCAACTTTTCTAAAACGAGATTTACCACTAGGCTTTGTCTGCAGTGTTAAATTCTTCCTAAAAGCTTAGCAGTTTACTGAATTGAGCCACTGACACAGTATCAAGAGCCAAAGCTGTTGTTCTGTTATTTCCTGTAATTCTTATTAGCCTCAAGGATTTGGGATCTAGAAATTCATTTTACTCTTCTTTCTCAGTAACTGAGACAATTTCAATAGGAAATTCTATGTAACTAAACCATATTTTATTCTCTTTACAAGTCTTTTTCCCCATGCCCTTCATGAACATCACTAATGAGACAGTGGATTAATATATTACTAAGTGGAGACAAGCAACAGCTTAAACTAATATCGCACTTTTCTGTTTCCAAAACAAATGTTCTGCCATGAGCAGAGAACAACTCTTGCCAGCCAAGATGTAGTGATTGAGTGTCTGAACCACACGTACTAAAAGAACAAGAATATTAATTCGAGGTAGCATTCCTAAGGCAAATACTGATGCATGTGGCAGCCTGGAGGAATGTGCCAGATGCTCTGACTGTTCTCTCTACAGTTCCATGACAGAAATTGAAATGCTTTCAGTGCTACTATTAGCTGTCCCACGGAACTCTTCTAAAGACTGAAAGGCTTACTATTGTCTGGCTAGTTCATATGTCTATAACTCTTCAAAGCATAATAGCCTACTTCCCAAAACTTCCTGATAAGATCCACGACAAATCCTAAAGACTTAGTTTCATACTAATTATTGGAAAATAGAGGAGCTAAAAGTTGCATTCAGTCCTAACAGCCGCTGAGCGTGAGAGCCTAGTATTAAAAGATGCTATGGAATCTTTAAAACTTACAAGCCATGGTTACTTGAGAGCACTTGAGATTCTTGCATGTATGAAGCCCCAACCTCCATTCGTTGACATTCTAACTTCTTAACGAGTGGGACATAATACAAAGAGCTGAGGGAAGGTGGGAGGGAGTCTCCTGTTGGCCCTTCCTGCTGGGGCACACTCTCAGCATTGATAGGCTTGGCTGAAACATGGGGAGACCAGTCCACGTCCTTCCTTACTCCGAGTGCTCTTGTATCTACTGAAGTAGTGTGTGGGAAAGCTCCAGCCAGTCCTTAAATATGAGTACCTCGTATTAGACTGAGCAGTAATGTTGCTCAGGCCTGGCCTTTGGCACAGGGATTCCAGGTGGTTGTAGGGGCTGTGACACTCTAGGGGAGACCACCCAGGGCTGAAGCTAGAGGCTGTTTTCCTGATCAGGTATATTTTTTTCTGGTCCCAGGATAGTCAAGGGAATGAGCTGTGTTGAGAGAAGGGTTGTCAAGTGTAGGGTGGGCCTGACTCGCACTTTCCCAAATGGTTGAGCATAGAAATGGCAGAATTCTGCAGGCTCATTAAATTATAGTTTGGTGATCTTTCAAAATCACCTTGAGGATGTAGTCATTGGTGTTGATGGGGCAGTAGGATCTTTTGAAACCGTAAGATTGAAAGATAAACACATGGACCCATTAGGGAGAGCTAGGGATGCTCTTTTGAGTTTGGCATCAGGGCTGATGGCTCTGCAGCCTCTGTCTGGCAGGGAGAGACTGAATGGTTGTCCTGACTCTGTGGAGCATGCCCCGTTTCGGCCTGCAGAGAAAGCCTTCAGCAATGTGATTGGATATCTCTGTTCCTTTCCAGCTCCTTATGTGACATATCTAAGTAAAGACCCATCGGCCCCATGCTCTCTGACTGATGCTCTGGATCACTTCCAAGTGGACAGCCTGGATGAAATCATTCCAAATGACCTGAGGAAGAGTGACCTCCCTCCTCAGCATGCCCCCCGCAACATCACCGTGGTCGCAGTGGAAGGCTGCCACTCGTTTGTTATTGTTGACTGGGACAACGCCACCCCTGGAGATGTGGTATCAGGTGTGTCCTAGGCAGATGCACAGAGTTCCCATTGATCTGTGGGTTGGAAGTACAGACAGTAAGAGATGGATGGATGAGTGGATGGATGCATAGATGGGCGCATGGATGGATGGATGGATGGAGGATGGATGGTTCCACAGGATGGAATTCAGGCAACAACAGAAGCCTCACAGGAGAGTGTAAAGAGCACTGGGTGGAAGTGCAAAGTCTGGAATCTCAGCCCCAGACTGGTTTGCATGACCTGGCTATTTTATCTCCCTGAGCCTTGGTTTCCTCATACGCAAAATATCGTTGCATCTCTAACATTCTGTAATCCTGCAAATGGCCAGGGAGTCCAGGTAGACACTTGTAGGTTCACATCATGCAGCAAGGGTGATGAAGGGGCTCCTATTCTGGAGTCACATTTAATGTGTCAGATTCAGTGCAGGGGTCCTGACTCTGCCCTTTCCCGTCTTTCCATGCCTGCTGGGTGCTTCTGAACCAGTCTGGGTACTTCCCAGTTCCTTATGTGGGAATTGGATGTGATGGAAAAATGGCCAGGGATCTTGAGCCGGCTTGGTCTTGGCCTATGAAATATTCATGAGTTCACGTGTTTCTGCCAAGGATATATTTGAGGATAAATCCGTTGAAATAAGTTCTTACAGAAAAAGAATTGATGTTTTCTTTGAATAGTCCCTTTCTTTGCAGATGATTCCTTCTGGGCCTGTGAGCTGTATAAAAGGAAGGAATGTACATGTGGCTGTGTATATGTCTCAGGGCTGGGGGGTGGCATCAAAGGTGGGAGTTTGGCATTATCTGTCACTATTATGCTAGTTAGTTTATATAATTCTAAATTTCTAGCTCTTTTATTCCATGTTCCCAATATTAGCTCTTAAAATGAGAAAAAATGTTCAAGAATATCCAAAGAGCAACTTCTCTTGTGGAGTTTGCACAGCAGCCCAAAAGCCAGGATAAGGACACTGGAAAAAATGCTCCTGGGAGTGCTGCCAATGAGGCTGGAGGCCCGGGGTGCAGGGCGGGTGCAGGAGGAAGGAGTTTTAGTCTTTGTGTGTCTCAAAGTGCTGCTCTCTCCAGGGTGTGTGTTTCATGGGCTGAGACCAATTCCTGTGAAATCTAGCATGTTCTAATACAAAGCAAATAAATCAATGTAAGGAGGAAAGCTTGTAATCAAAACAGCCAGAAAATCCTTCTATTAACTGAATAGGCTTTATGAATGGCAATTTTAAAAAACGAGTAAGCAAGCATACAGAAAAAATAATTGCAAAACTTATTTTAAGGTATTTAGTTTTTGATCTCTTGCATAAAAGATATTACTTGACCTAAATATATCACTGGATCCTGAGCCAAGAGGTTTCTAAGAAACATTGGCTTCAGGATGAGAGCATTGGCCACATTGAATGTGCCTCCAACGCCCTTGCAGTGAAGAAAGCCTTCAGGGAACTCGCAACAAACGTCTGAGACTGGAATTCAGACGCTATTCCTGTATCATCCTGTAGAGGTCGGGCTTCTGAAACACTCGAGCTCTTGCTGCTTTTGCCATCGGTCGTGCATTCCAAGTGTCCAAAGCCCCCGGGAGACCTCAGTGTCCTTACGTCCCTCACATACCCTACGCCCGAATGAAACCTGAGCCCCTAATCACAAGTACTCATGACAATAGCATAAACTATATGGAAGAGGCATTTATAGGGATTTGGGCATGTGAAGTTGTGCCAGCTCCTGTCAAGCTGTTTACTGTGGAACATTTCAGTGCAGGGTGGCCCTATGTACGGAGGAAAAGCAGCAGACCCCAAAAGGCTAAAAGAGAAAAATAGTGGGAGTTCTTCATCAGTCGGTGAGCCAAGCACTGGCGTGGGAAGCGTGGGGTTCTGATGGAAGCCAGAGCTCAAAGGGTAGGAGCGAGGCCACCCCCACCGAAGCTGGGTTTCGGTGGCACATGCGTGAGCCTCCAGCCCCGTGGGTGGCCATTGTTGTGGGCAACACCACTCTAAGCATGTGTGTTTGACTTCTAGGGAGAGAGCAGCAACACTTCGCAGGTTCTCATGAAATATTTGTTGAAAAACAAACAAAAAAATGAATCTCCTCCAGGGAACAGTGTGGAAAGGGCTCCAGAGCCCAGTTCAGCTTGCGTCTGGTCCCAGCTTGCCCGTGTGTTGGCGGTGCGATGCTAATCAGTGATCACAGCTGCTGAATAAAGTCTCCCTCTCAGACGCATTCGATGCTATGGACCTTCCCCTCTTCTTGACTTGTGTGATGCAGTTCTGTGGAGCCCTCAGTCTCCTCTCAGGCTTACCCCCTTGGACCCCAGCATTAAATGGTGGAATTTCTTAAGGCTTGGTCCTAGGTCCTCTTTTCTTTCTGCTCTATCTTCTCTCCCCACAGGGTCTCATTCAGGCACATGGTTTTAACTCATCTTGGAGATGAGTCACTGATTTATATCTCAAGGCCAGTCCTTCCTCTCCTCTGAGCCTCAAACGGTAAATTCAGATGCCCATTGACGTCATCACTGGGACGTCTCCAAAGTATCTCAGACTCAGCTTTTACAGAACCAAACTCACGATCCTTCTGCTCCCCAAACCTGGCCCGCGTCTGTGCTTCCTTTCTCAGACAGTAGCTCCATTTCCACCCGCTTGTTCAAGCCTGGAGCTTTGGAGTCATCTTCAGATCTCCTTTTATCTACCTCCATATTCAGTTCCTCACTAAGTCCTGTCGCTTTTTCCCTTCTATATTTCTCTTGCACCCATCATTTCTATTAACTGCCATGTTCATCTGAGCTACTGCCATCTCACGTGGCTGTGCAAGAGCTGTGCAGCTAGACTATTCCCATCCCCTCCACACTCCCACCCCCAGGTCATCCTCCAAAGACACAAACCTGACTGTCACCCATTTAATGTCTTTCTCTCTGTTTTTTTAGAGTGAAAAGCACAAGCCTAACATGCCTAGGGACACTCAGAGTTTTTCCATCCTGTGCTGCTTCTGCTTTACCTCCTGCCCTTCCCATCCCTGCTACTCCAGCTCCCAGCCAAACCGCCTCTCCCGGCTCCTCCCTGTTTAGCTCTCAGCCCAGGTATTCCCTCTACCTGGAATCCTTCCCACATCCTACCACACACCTTACTTGCTTCTCAGCCTTCAGATCCCAGCTCTGTCTTTGTTACCCAGGGAAGCTCTTCAGTCCTCCACGGTAGGTTCCCTTTCCCTACACACCCTCTCGAAGCACCATGGCCTCTCCTTCAGAGCATTAGTTACAGCTGTAAAGTTCTATTTGTCTGTGTGCCCTACAGTTCCTTGAGGTCTTGGCCCCGTTTTATCTCCAGCAGTTAGTAGGCAAATAGTAGATGTGCAATAAATATTTGTTAAATGGATGAACGAATGTGAACTTTGGAAGACATTTAACATCTGAAACTCAGTTTCCTTATCTGTCAAATGGGAATAGCAATACCTTCATACTAAGACTGTGAGAATTAACCGAAGTAAAACTTAATCCAAAGTGCTCAGCATAGTGTTTGGCACATAGGAAGTGCCAGACAAATGTTTTCTTCTTTTTGGAACATATAAGAGACCCTGTATAAAGGATGCACTGAGCTGTGATATGAACTTGGCTTTGCCACCTGGGGTGGCCTTGAAGGCTGGGAAGATGTCAGGGCTGAGGTCCCACCTGCTGTGGTCTGTTATTAGCAAATAAGATGGAGCAGGTTAGACGGTAGAAAGAAGAGCTGCCTGACTGCTGTCATTAGAGAGAGATGTCAAGGGCGGGCACGGATATTCAACAACTGGAGATCAAAGGAGAGCCTTCCCCAAATGGGCAAGGGGCTGCTGTGAGTCTGTGGTCCTTCAGCCACACACGTGCACAGCATTCACCATTAACCTGCTTTGCTCCACGTGAAGGACAACTGGTGTACACAGTTGTACATATGCCTACTGGGGGGTTCTTGAATACTTGTGTGGGGGCCACTGCTCTTTTCTTCTGCTTCTTGTTCCTCTCTGCAGTCAAGATTGGGGGTGATGAGTACTGAGGAGACGGGGAGGGCCAGGAATGAGGGGGATAGAGAAGGAAGAGTCATCAGAAAATGTCTTAATTTTGTTGTCCCCACCTGGACTCACTAGAAGGTACCAATGTTCTATCCCATCCTGTCCCTTCGTGAAGCCCTCCCGCAGAGCTGTGTCTACAGCATTGCTTGTCCCTGTCCTTCTCTTTGGGTGACACCTCTTGTGTGACTTGGTTCCTTGAAGCTCATTAGGTTTTTCCCTATTTCCACTTCCAGGTTACTTGGTTTACAGCGCATCCTATGAAGACTTCATCAGGAACAAGTGGTCCGCTCAGGCTTCAGCAGTAACTCATTTGCCCATTGAGAACCTGAAGCCAAACACAAGGTATGCTGTGTCAGCTGCTGAGAAACAAGAAAACGAGACCTGTGTGCCTGGTCACAGATACCTTCTGGTTGAAAATGAAAAGATCAATCAGCATGTTTTTATGATTTCTTTGAATTCTCTGTTTAGTTATCATAGATTGTCAGTGAATGCTTACCATATGTCACATAATTTTCTAAGGAGAAATTGCAACAGGTATTCTAATTGTTAGGCCATTGTGTTTTATTTTGTTCCTTATATTCCTAACTGGTACCTACCATTAGGGAAAGAAAGGTGGTTCTATGCGTTGAAAGAGAATTGATCCATTTTTAGTCACCAATGTAGTGGCATTAGGCAGCACAACCTTCATACAGGACATTAATGGAGTAGCAATTGCTAAACATTTAAGCTAACTGATACCAAAGGCTATGATGTATGCATTCAGACCATTCGTGAAAGATGCAGTTTGCACATTAGTAAAGGTTGCAAGCATGTTTGCATTAGCTGGGCAGTGGCTGGCTGGCCAGAGCGCCATTCTGGAAGCCAGAGTCTGTAGCCCTTGGTGTGAACACGCAAAACTGGTTCCCGGGCATGCAAAGAAAGTGATTGTTAATTCCTCTTTTACGCTGTCTGGTTTTGATAGTGATATCCATCAGAAAGCTTCCCTCATGGGTCAACAGGGGCAAAGCACCAAGCCCATGCTGGTCGAGAGATGGTATGCTGGTAAACCAGCATTCTGGAAAAAATAAATCCCTTGTTTATAGTGTTCCAATTTCTGTGGTGTAAATACTGTCACCATGGCCAGTGTCAAGCTACCAATGGGCTTGCAGAATTCCTGAATAGTTAATGACTGGCTCTTAAAAGCTCCAGCGCACCCAGGCTATGGTGAGCCACCAAGTTTGCTCAGCAGAGGGCGCAAAGTGCTGTGATGCTGGACCTGGGGTCTCATTTTCCACATAGGCAGAGGACCCAGGGAAGGTTGGAACAAAATACATTCATTAAACAGGCGTATGCCAAAGGTGGTAGACTCTGGACAATAGCCATGGGCATGTAGAGCCTTCCAAATGAGCTGAGAATTCTCTTCTGGACATCTTAACGTGCCATTTGGGCTCACTTGAATTGAGCTTTCATAAACTATTATGAATTTCAGGATTTGGCAAATAAAAAACAAGTAGTAAAACAGGACACTGAGAAAGCACTTTTCTTTATTTTCCCCTAGTAATCATGAAAAAGTTATTAACTAGAGAAAATAACAACAACAGACTTTGAGAAAGTGAGGTCAACATTTGTTTTTTAGTTGTGCACAGAGTGACAGTGCTTTTAAAGCACAGCCACAGTGTCAAAGGCTGAAGGAGGCCTTTGAGATATTTTGCCACGTAGCTACTTGCAATAGGACTTGAACCTCAGTCCCCCGACCCTCCCAATCACTGCTCTTCCCGCAACTTTTGCTGACAGACGGCTGTTGAGTTTTGAATAATGTCAGGAGATGATACCTGTAGGGCCTGGCTTATTCATCATTCGTTCTTTCACCAGGTACCAGTGAGTGTCCACGATTCATTCAGTAAGTTCTTACAGTTTACTAAGCCCCAGGCACCACGTTATGCACCGGAGGCAGAACAGCAGAGGTGGGAGAGTTGGGGGTAAAATACTCGCCTCTGTCCTGTCCTCAGGGAGCTTATAGTCTGGTGGAGGAGACAGACCTTATTTTTTAAACAACATGAATATAAACTTCACTGGCCAGTGGCACGAGGGAGAAGTACACTGTGCTTTGAGAGTATATAATAGGGGGATTTCTTTTTATGAGCTCAGGGGTAGAGAAGGCCATCAGGTAAGCTTCTCTGGAGAAGTAAGTTCTGAAAAAGAAGCAGTTAACCTAGAGAAGACGGGGGTGGGCTGTGGCAAAGTTGCCGCAGGCAGAGAGGATGCCCCCAAGTACAGTGTGTTCTCGCAGGAAGAGGAGGCCCATTTGGAGCGAGGAATGAAGGATGAGAGAGCTGGGCAGAGCAGTGCAGGGGGCCTCTGGGTTCCCGACACCTTGCTCTACCCTCCCCACGGTAGCTCCCTGATGGACAGATTGGAGCAACAGCTGCTGTTCCTGGGATGCCACCCGGTCATTGGCTCTTCTGTGGACAGTACTGGCCAGGACACGGGGCACATGTGGCCCCGCCTACATTTCCCCAAACTCTCCTGAACAGTTGCTCAAGTGTTACAGCTAGGAAGGTGGGACTGTGTTGTAAGGACACCCCTTTTTGTCCTGCGCTACCTGAATGCAGAACGACTCTGGGGATCTTGCTTCGGTGGTCTAAGTACTCTTCCCACTGTGGCTGCAGCTGCCCATTGCTCAGCACAGTCCTGAGGGCCTGGCTTGGGAACCGGCTTCAGCGTCATTGTAGGAGAGATGAGCAGTCTGTCTACTCAGAAGAGGAGCCAGAGCATGAAACTGAGCGTTGGTTGTTTATAACTGGATCATGTTTTTGACTTTAAGTGAGCATTGTCTACCTTTCATCAGACTGAGTTCCAGTTTGCTCTTTGGAGTCTGCATATTTTAAATCTATACCTAAAATACAAAGATGTGTCACTATTGAGGCTGTTCAAAAGAAGGTGCCGAAAGCTTATTCAAGGGGCGGGGGGGGGGGGCATGGATTGTGTTTGTTACTCAGATGAGGCAGAGACTGTTCAGAGTGTGAAACACATTGAGTCCATAGAAAAAGTTTAATGTGGTTTTTGAAAAGAAGGGTTTTACTTTTTTCATAATTCCATGTTGTTTTTCAGCTCAGCATATTTACATTTACTTTGACACATTAGGTGAAGTTCAAGTGGAAATGTGTCTTTGGAATTGGCACGTGTGGGTTTCTTGAGGACTAACATCACTGTGTCAACAGCCAAGGTGGATTTGGGGAATTCCTTAGGTTTTGGTGGGAAAGCAAAATCGGCACAAATGGACCCACCTGAGTGGTCTCCCAGCCTCTTAGTCATCCCTTTGCCCCCTCCTCAGTTGCACAGACCCTCTGTGGGGCTGCGGGCCGGGGTGTGAGGAAGGTTCCAGCCATTGCCTGAGAAACTGTTCAGCGGAAATATCCATGTAGCCTTTGAATACGTGTCCTTCCTTATGTTTTGCTTTCCTTTTTATAAGAAAAAAACAAAAGTATCTGTAAGGCTTGGCCAGGATCATTGATATATGCTAAACCCACTGCCTCCAGAGTTTTGCCTTAAATAACTCCATGACCACTGAATGAAAGTATGCATAATTGGGAAAACCTCAACTGCTGAGGGAATTGAGATTTGGAAACGCGTGTGTTCTCCATCATGCATATCTTTCTTCTTTACGTTGAAATTAAAAAAAGAACACTCCTAAATAAGAGGTGAATGACTTAAGAAGACATATTTTACTCAATGGCTTTTCTTCACTTCCTGTTTAACCAAACCCAATGTAACATACCCCTGTGCCGAGGCTGCCTGCTGTGGTGATCTCGGCAGCTTGGCAGGTGCCTGGGCAGCCATGTAGCAGACACAGCCCTTTGCTCTCTGAATGTAAATAATCCACCTTTGAAAAATCGAGCTCATTTTAGTTAGTGCACATGAGCTGAGTGCCTGACTAATCAAATAAGGAATGTTGTAGCATTTAAATGTGACACTCCTGCTGGCCACAAGCCCAAGGGGAGGCTCTCTATGAACTCTCTAACATGGCTTTAATATCTCGCCCTCCCACCTCACCTGTGCGTAGCTAAGTGCTGAGAGCATATAGATTATCTGGAATCCCAGAGGTGAGGAAAACACAGAGATTAAGAATAGACAGAGCGGGTTGCAACTGTGCTGCTGGTTTGCAGTATTTTCCTAACCACCGCTTTTTGTCTTTTAGCTCACAAAGGTGCAAAGTAGGATGCTGTGAGACTTGATCTCCCTCTAGAAGAGCTGGCTGACTCAGTGTGCTTTCTAGCACATTCTCTGTTCCATGACAAAATTTAGCCCTACAGCAAAGCTTCTCTCCAGGCCTTTTGTACTTTCCTCTCCTTGAGGCGCAACCACTCGTAACTCAGTGACTCTTAAGGAGGCCCATTCCCAGCTCCAGAGCGCAACAGAGATGTTGCTGCCATGGCAGTTCCACTGAAGAGGCCAGCCTGGGGCTGGGACTCCCTCTCTGTGCCAACCAAGAGTTGCATCATTACTGGATTGAACATCCTGGTTTTCTCATGGACCCCAGGGATAAGGATTAGGGTACAATTTGAATTCTACTCTGGTTTCTTGCTGCTCCAACTTCTTCCTCTGGGGCTGTGGAGCTCGAGCTGGAACAAGAGCAGGATCAGGGGAGCATCTCACCAGGGGTGAGCTGGTAGGCTCCTGCAGAGCGGTGACCATCCCGATGTGCTGAGGTCCACACACTCACTGAGAAACCTGTCTGCACCCCTTCTGTTCCCATTAGCCATGCGTCTGTGCCATGTTAATTTTTGAATAGTTATTTAAAAATGAGAAAGTTCAGAAAAATACAAAGATTTTTATTTGTAAAAAAAAAATAGGACTCAAAACCTGCCAAAGAGTAGGTGCTCGACAGTTTGGGGATCTGTTTCAATGCACAAAATCAAATAACTTTATCTTTCAAAAGATGTTTTCTTCCAATTTCAGGTATTATTTTAAAGTTCAGGCCAAAAACCCTCATGGCTATGGACCTATCAGCCCTTCCGTCTCATTTGTTACAGAATCAGGTATGAGTCACTTCATGTTCTTGTTTGTGTTACTTTTCTTAAAAATAAAATAAATAATTTAGAATAATGACGACTATAGGTAAAAATTAAAGAAATAAAATCTTTGCTTTTCTATTTAGTGAGTTCATACTGAATATCTGTAAATATTATTTTCTTTCTGCTAGTTTAAAACTTGGGTAATAAAATTAAAAGTAGTCTTCACTGGCTCCCTGAGGAGCAGATAGGTCAGATTCCAATGAAAGGGGAATACATAATTTTCAGCCACATGGGAAAGATAAGTTTGAATCTATCTGTAAGAAGTTTAGTTGCAGAGTCGAAAAATTTTTTTATTTCAGACAGCTGAAGAACATCCCTGTCACACGACCTGTTGCTTCTCCAATTAGCCAAGTCTCTAAAATGCCCCCTTTACTAGGAGGTGGAGAGTTGGGTTAAACTATCATTCATTCTTACAAGCAATATCACTTGGAGCATGTCCTTGCATTTTGGGATGCTGGTGGACAGAGCTCTCAGGACCTTCAATAACGCATTCCTGTGGCCCATGGTTGGAGGCAGTACACACAGAGCTGGTCCACTGTGACAGTTCCTGGGTTACACTTTTCTCTTTAGGAACCTGAGCTGGAGTTCATCAGCCCAGCCAAGCCAGCTCTGCACCCAGATGGCTCCAGCTTCCATTTGGTTAGATTATTTCCTACATGTAGCCTGATCCCAGAAAATTTGTCATTGGAAGTGTCTTAGTCTTTTTCTGTTGCTTATAACAAAATACCTGAAACTGGGTAATTTGTGAAGAAAAACAATATTTATTGCTTATAGTTTTGGAGGCTGGGAAGTCCACAGTCCAGGCAACATATCTGGTGAGGTGACTCTGCTGCAATGCAGGGTGTCACATGGCAGAATGGCAAAGCAGAGAAAGAGCTAACTCCTTACTCCTCCTCCTTGTAAAGCCCTCAGAGCCACGCCCAGCAGTTGGATTAATCCATTTACTTGAACATACTCCTCACAATCTAATCACCTCTTCATGACCCCATCTTTCAATTATTGTAATAGGATTTCCCATCCTCTTAACACCATCACAGTGAAGGTTACTTTTCTAACACGTGGACTTTGGAGGACACAGATTAATCCAAGGCATTTCACTCCTGGCTCCCAACGTTCATGGCCTCACAAGTAAACACATTCAGGAAGATATTTTTAAGTGAAATGATTTAAAATCTACAAAGTCAAAATATATGGAAAAAATGAAATCTTTTCCATATATGAATATCTTTTCCATATCCAGAATATGCTTTATACTGGAAATGTAGACAAAGGACTTCAAGTGTTTCACATATATCATTTCAGAAATGTGTTTCTCATTAGAAATTAAGAAAGAGCAAGAGAAAATCATTATCAGTGGTTGATTTGCTAAAGTAAGGAATGTGTCTGTGTTTATGGCTGCATTTTGAAATCTAAAAACAAGTGGACCTTTGGCATCTATCAGAATTATCATGATAAAGGTCTACAGAAAAAAAAAATTCAAATCCAAAAAGCTATCAAGAAACTTTGTTCTGAAATCTATCTGAGAGTATAAAGTGATACATAAGGGAGCTTCAGAAAGTTCATGGACTGCCCCCCCCCCCAAAGTTCATGGAAAGATTGGTATTATCTTACAATTCTATTTTTCCACAAGCTTTTTGAAGTATCCTCATACATGTAATTTCTGGGACTCCAATGTAAACTTTTGAAAAGACTGCTCTCTTCTACCCTCTCCCCAAAGAAAATCTCCTGGTCTATCCTCTATCGCTTCCAAGGAGTGGATGATGGCGATGCAAGACCTCCCCCTGCCAGCCTCTGAATAAGAATCCCTTGGGTGGGACCTGGGAAACGCACTTTCAGTGAACCCACAGAAGACACGTGCACACGGAAATTCGACAGTGACTTGCTCTGGTCATTTTCACTTTATTCAATCCATTTATTCAAGTCTATCTATTTTGTGCTACCTGCTGAAAGTGGTTAGGTTAGCATCAAGAGAATGATCAACTAATTGAATTATGACGTCTGTCAAACATAACAATCTACAAATTAATTCGTGAAGTAGAGGTGTGTGCATAACACAGGCTGTTGCATAAGCTCAGGTTGTTTGTGCTGTCGTTGTCTCATGCTTTTCCCTCCAGCCCACTCCAGGGCATTTGAGAAGTTTTCCGCAGAGTATTGGAACTTAGGAAGTTAAGAGCAGGAGAGCAAAACAAGCATTTTGCACCACGACGGACAGCGTGTCGCTCTATTTTGTGAATAGTGGATGATGTTAAAATGAATGGTCTGGACAAAGGGCCGTGCAAGGGAGATTTGGGGGGAATGGACTTATTCTGCATGATGACTGTGGTGGGCATCCATGAAAAATTCACAGGATGTACAGATGCTCCTTGACTTACAGTGGGGTTATGTTCTGTTAAGCCCATTGTAAGTTGAAAATATCGTTAAGTGGAAGATGCATGTAATACATGTAACCTACCAGTCATCACTGCTTAGCTGAGCCCACCTTAAATGTGCTCAGAACTCTCACATTAACCTACAGTTGGGCAAAATAATCTAACACAAAGCCTATTTTATAATACAGTGTTGACTGTCTCATGTAATTTATTGAGTCCTGTAATGAAAGTGAAAAGCAGAATGGTGCTTGTATGGATTCTCAAAATGCCATTTCCTCTGAATGCGAGTAACTTTCACTTTCTTCATAAAGTTGAAGTATCTGAAGTCAAACCATCGTAAGTTGGGACCGTCTGTATACCCTATAAGTGCAATTTACTACATGATAAGTTTTCAAAAATTAAAAAAAGAATGATCCGTGTTTACCTAGCCCATGGCATTTTATAGAAATGGACTTTTTCTAAAGCAGAATCCCTTAAGAAGCTAGTTCCGTATTCTCTTCAATGGCATTTTTTGGGGCTGAAGTGTAGACATGTTTTCAAAAGAGCTTTGCTGAGGTATAAGTGGCAAACAACAAACTGCACATGAAGTGTACACCTTAATAAATTTTGAAGTATGTTTATACCCGTGAGGCCATTGCCACTGTCAGGATTGTATCATCATCCCCAGCAGTTTCCTCCTGCTGCTGTGCAATCCAGCCGCCCACCTCCCCACGTGGCCCTCCTCCCACCTGTTTACAGGCAACTGCTCCTCTGCTTTCTGTCACTATGGATTAGTTTGCACTTTCTTGAAGTGTATATTAATAGAATCATACAGCATGAACTACTTTGACTGGCTTCTGTCACTGAGCATAATCATTCTGAGATTTATTCATACTGTGTATATCAGTAGTTCATTCTCTTTTATTACTGAGCAGTATTTCATTGTATGGCTCTGCCACAATTTGTTAATCCAATCCAGTCATCTGTTGATAAACTTTTGGGTTGTTTCTACTTTTTGGCTATTACAGACAAAGCTGCTATAAACATCTGTGTACAAGTGTTTGTATAGACAGATGTTTTAATTTCTCTTGGATAAATACCTAAGAGTGGAGTGGATGGATCATACAGTAGGTGTGTGCTTACCTTTTTAAGAAACCACCAGACTGTTTTCCAAAGACAAACTTTAAAAAAAAAACAATTAGTATTGAATTATTTTGTAGCATCCAATATCAAAACCTTATTATTTTCAGGGACACGCAGCTTCTAGGTAAATAATAAGGAAATATAACTATAAAAGAGTATTTTTCAAAAGGAAATGCTTAGAAAATAAAAACCAAGGAAAAACTATGGCATCTATCAAATAAACCTTATTTTTTCCTTTATTCCAGTTTGGTTAGGTCTTTTGATTGCAATAAACATTGCAACAACCGCATGACTGTGAAATATGATACAAAGTCAATTATTTCTTTTTCATTCTACAGACAATCCTCTGCTTGTTGTGAGGCCACCAGGTAAGTTTCTCTTCTTATTAATCTTGATATTATGATAATCAAGTTGAATATTGAACATGAGATTGCTTTGATTATTCATAAGTAGAAATGCTGGACCATTTTTGCATTTTCATAGTTTTCTGATAACTTCTATGGTTTCCTTGCACCCTTCGTCCTGATCTATGGAAAAGAATGACCTGAGATCTTTTTCATAGGTCCATACCAGTCAATTTCTATGAAAAACCATTGTAGGGTGGCCAATATCTATGAAACGGATACTTTATTGACATAACCACTTTGAATATTTTAAATTGCTAAAAAAGATAGCAAAATGCACTAAGTGTACAACAGAGTTTTACTTTATTTTTCAAACAAACTGAGGAAGCCCTGTTGCTTAAGTTCAAGACAGGTCTTATGAGTGGCCCAAAGAGTAGGAGCCTGTGCTGAAGGACTTAAGGCTAGGATGGAATGCCCCCAAAGACCAACTCTGCCATGACAGCTGATTTTCCTTGAGGCTTAAAGACTTTTGTGACCGACCTCTGAGAATTTCTTATTGAAATGCAAGTGCCTTAAATGCATCCAGGTAGAAGGAACGCCTGATCCTTCAGTACTAAAATAGAAGAAGAAAGAAAAAGAAGATGCTCATTTGGGAGGTAGGAAAACTTTGCTCAGAAAAGCCCTGCGAGGAGGAAAAGGCCCGTGAATAAGTCCAGTTTCCTGGCACTTTGCACAAAAACAAACACTGTGGGGTGCCGTAACTTATCGGGTGTATTCTATGTTGTCAAGGTGGTGAACCCATCTGGATCCCGTTTACTTTCAAACGTGACCCCGGCTACACGGACTGCCATGGCCGGCAATATGTGAAGCGGACATGGTATAAAAAGTTTGTGGGAGTCGTTCTTTGTAATTCATTGAGGTATAAGATCTACCTCAGTGACAACTTGAAAGGTAAGTCTTTGAGGATGGTTGGCTTTGGAAGGTATGAACAATTTTCATTTTGTCAGGTACTGACTTGACACGGCAGGTACATCAGAACGCATGCGAGGCCTGGACCTGTCACGGCTCACTCTGGCACAAATACAAACCAGTTTCACAGGCTCTGCTTTGGGGTTGCTAGTTTTTACATCGACACCCAATCTTTATTTTTAAAGATCTACTGTTTTTTAGGAATGAAGTCCAAAATTCTGTTAGAAATTTAAAGGCCTATTTTCTTTGCCATTAATTCAATAATAGGTATGAGTGCAAGCTGGAGGAATTGAAAAGTTCCCCCTCCAGCCCCTTCCACCATCACAACTTTACAGAGAAAAAGATGTAGATTGTGAGACATACATCAGTAATACTATTTGTTCTGTGTTTGAATAAAAATCACATTATTTTTATCATGGTAGGGGATAAAACAAAGAATAACATGAGTACCTCAAACTACTAACATTTCAAAATGCCCTGTCTATCCATCTGGCTTCAACTTACCCAGCTACACTGTTTTTTATTTCAAAACTTGCTCAACTTTCAGTTTTCTAGTATATACTTTTAAAAAACTTTTTTCAGCTGGTCTATATTTTGTCAATGGTCAAAATTTATTATTGTTTTGTTTTTTTCTTGATCATTTAAAGATAGTGTCAAAACAAAGTCTCCCTTCCCTGCCCTCGGCAATTTCTGTGTCCATGCCTCACCCAACGACCACCGTCTATTTATCTCTCTCTGCTCTTTCCTTTCTCTTTCACCATCACTCTTTCCCTCCCCTGCTTCAGAATTCCTAGGAGAGGTTGCACAGCCATCTCCAGAATCGCAGGATTGGGAGACGCAATTTTGCCCTACTGTGCAGATGTGGTTCAGGACCATGGACAGTATCTTGGGCCGCAGATAAGCACCCGCCTTCTAGTTTGCGGTGAAAATAGTTCCTCTATTTATATAGATCTCCCCGCCTTTCGTAATTATTTCATGATATATTCTCTGACTGTCATCATTTTCTTCATTCCCTCTTTTCAAAACTAATACATAAAAAGGTCTATCATTTATAGCAGAAACTGCCTATAATGTTAGTAGTTCCCACTACTTGAACATTTGTTAAGTATTTAGCATACATGATCTTGCTGAATCGTCACAATGCTTATGAGGTTGGAACCGTTATTACCATTTTTCGGATGTGGAAAGTATGGCACACACAGATTAAGTAATGTGCTCAATTCAAACGGTGTCCAAAGCTTGTGCAAACTCCTGGACCAGCTGTGGCATTCTTTGACTACTCACTGACCCGTTATATTTCTTTCTGAAGATACGTTCTACAGCATTGGAGACAGCTGGGGAAGAGGTGAAGACCATTGCCAATTTGTGGATTCACACCTTGATGGAAAAACAGGGCCTCAGTCCTATGTAGAAGCCCTCCCTACCATTCAAGGTAATATGAACTAATGCCTGATACTTTACACTGGGGGGTGAGAGAGGAGGGTTAATAAAAAGAGGAAATTTACTGTAGCTCCTCCTTTGATTTACCATTTGAAGATAGATACTGGGAATACTTTGGATCGTAAAAATAAGGAATCAAAAAAAAAAAAAAAGAATACTCCTACCATGTGCTGGGCTTGGGGGTGAGCCTTGAGGAAGTGGGAATGTGAAGGAATATAGTCCTCATCCCTGCCCTCAGGAACATGCTCCATAACTGGGAAGAGAAAATAAATATGTGAAAAGCTAACATTGAACACCTTATAGTACAGATAATGACAAGAGTCATGCCGTATGAGTTTCCTCTTGGCAGTGATTATAGTGCATGTTATAGTCACTATGAACTCAAAGGAGGCAGTCCATGTGAGGCCATTGGGGAAGGCTTTCAGAAGAGGCAGAGTAGGGCCTGAGCTTGCAAAGACTGGAGGGCCTTCCAGGTGGAGAATGGCATGAATGAAAGTACAGAAAGGCAAAGATAAACACGTAAACCCTCAGGAGATGGTGTGTCAACTACCTGAGTGTGGCATTATGAGAGGAGGACAGGTACACTAATCTCCAAGGTGAACCACTCGTGATGTGTTACTGACTCCCTCACCCTCCAAACAAAGAAACAGAACAACTGAGGAAAGCCCAGCACCTTTTTCGTGATACGCTCAACTCTCAGTGATCACGCAGTCAACTCTCAGTGATCACGCAGTCAACTCTCAGTGATCACGCACTCAACTCAGTGATCACGCACTCAACTCTCAGTGATCACGCACTCAACTCTCAGTGATCACGCACTCAACTCTCAGTGATCACGCACTCAACTCTCAGTGATCACGCACTCAACTCTCAGTGATCACGCACTCAACTCTCAGTGATCACGCACTCAACTCTCAGTGATCACGCACTCAACTCTCAGTGATCACGCACTCAACTCTCAGTGATCACGCACTCAACTCTCAGTGATCACGCACTCAACTCTCAGTGATCACGCACTCAACTCTCAGTGATCACGCACTCAACTCTCAGTGATCACGCACTCAACTCTCAGTGATCACGCACTCAACTCTCAGTGATCACGCACTCAACTCTCAGTGATCACGCACTCAACTCTCAGTGATCATGCATTTTCAGGACACAAAGTGTTCTCATCTACCAAATTTTTTAACTTGGGGAAAAAAATACTGTAGGCTGGTAAATGAATTATCTATTTTCAAAGAATTAAAAAATCAAAATACCAGAAAACAGTAAAATAAGAAATAAGTGTGTGAGAGTACTTCAAATAGTTTGTGAAAAGATTCATATACATCTTTTATTTCTGTTTTTTTCACGAACTTTTCCAAGTACTCCTGTACTAGCCAAGGTTCTTTTATCCAGAGAAACAGAACCAACAGGATCTATCTGTGTGTCTGTCTAGCTTTCTATCTACCTATCTGTCTGGAAATTTATATATTTTATGGAATCAGCTCACATGATTGTGGAGACTGGCAAGTCCAAAATCTTCAGGGTGCTCTGTCAGGCTGGAGGCCCGGGGGAGAGCTGATGATGCAGTCCAAGTCCAAAGGCCATTTGGAGGTGGAATTCCCTCCTGTTCAGGGGTGGTCTACCTTTTTCTGTTCAGGACTTCCAACTGATTGGAAGAGACCCACATTATGAAAGGTCATCTGCTTTACTCAGTCTGGTGATTTAAATGTTAATCTCATCTGAAAAATTCTTTCACAGAAACATCTAGAGTAATGTTGGATCAAATATCTATGCTAGCCCAGTTGACACATAAAATTAACCATCACAAAATGTATACAAAATATACCACATTTCTTAGTTTTTCAGGACCTTGTCGTGCTCCAGAGTTACCATCACATGTATTATCAGTGTTCTACTGTGTTTCTGTGACTGTGATCATGATGTTGGCTCTGAACAGAGGTGCTGGTTAATCAGTTCACTTTCTGGTCGGGGGCAGGTAACCATTTATTTGGCAAGAGAAAACAGGGCCAGAAGACTGAGAGTAGGTGTTGAGTTTCCAGAAAAACTTTGAGGAGGTTGGAGCATCCCTTCTACTCAAGGGAGAAATCGTCAGAAATGCTACAGAATTCTTTCCTTTGGGAGATTTCCTTGAAAGATTGGAAAGTCTACCACAGATTCTAAGAATTCAACCTTGGCGGGTTGAGGTCCTGGCAAGTTGGAGGTGCTGAGGCCTGTGAGGACCAGGTGGGAGTCTTGGCTTGCCCTGTGGTGAGTGCACACTAGCAATTGGCTAAGATTGTCTTCTTTTGTGGAGAGAGAGAAAGAGAGAGGGCACTAATGGTCGCTTTTCCCTACCTGAGCCACACACCTGTGGGGACTGGATTATCCCCATAGATCATGCTTGGGCTAAACCTCATAGGCTGTTATAACCCCACACAAATTGTTCAGTTTGGAAGTGACACTTGTTCCCAGACACCTTCTTCTGAAAGGTGCTTGTAAGGATGAGGATATTTTCCTGCTGGTTGAGGGGCCTTTGACACATCTTCTCCCTTCTCCTCCCTTCTGCCCCTCCAGGCTACTATCGCCAGTACCGCCAGGAGCCCGTCAGCTTTGGCCACATTGGCTTTGGAACCCCCTACTACTACGTGGGCTGGTATGAGTGTGGGGTCTCCATTCCAGGAAAGTGGTAACCACAGGACGCTACTGCTGCGAGTGCACCCTGGTGGCCCCGTTGACTCACCTGCAATGGGGGCTGTGAGCAGAAGGATGGAGGCCTGAGCCCCAGTGCCCTGGATGTCAGGAAGGTCATGGGATGAACACTGGACATCTTGGTCATCTGCAATCTGGAACTCAGCCCCACTTCATGGCCTGGACTAGGAGCAGGATTCAGTCTTGCTGTTCACTTCTCCACACTTTCTGTTTGTAATACCGTGTCCCAGAGACATCAGGAAGCACAGCTGACTCAGTGTGATTTCCAGATTTTTTAGGCACAAAATTCGGACACTTCAGTATCTCCAGGGTACAGTGTAGGCATGCTGTGCTTGCTTCATGAAACGCTACATGCTTTCGATTTTTCTCATTCTCGACTCGTCCAAAACTAGTTGATTTAAGCTTCAGATCTCTTTGTATGCAATAGAACTGAATTACTAAAAACACCGCCACAGGAAATATATCCTACTTGAGATTTATTCTATGGACTTACTCACTACTAGACTAAATGTATCAAATCTTATTTGTAAATTCCCAATTTTGATATATATATATATATATATGTATGTATATATGCATATACATATCAACACTTGTCTGAAAGAATATTGATTAAAATTGCTAAATTTGTACTTGTTCACTAGATAAATGTGTGTGGGACTTTTTAGCCAAAATTGCTGTGTATTAATATCTTTTAGAAGTGTCCAGGAGATCTGTTCTCTGCATAACACAGCAACAGTGGCAAGGTGTGCACCCTTCCTTTGGATGCTGCTGGACTCTGGAAAAGATGGGGAGGCTGAGATGCTGTCTGTGAACTTGCCACACCATTCATCACTGCAAACTGAGTGCTTTCCACCTAAGGAGACAACCTTTCCATACCCAGGTGGACGATGTATTTGTTGCCTCTAGGGGGGCATCTCCAGTATGTTTCCAGATGAATTCAGATGTTAGGTCCCAAATGACTTAAAAGTTCTGTTTTCAAAAAATCCTCTTTTCTTTCTATCTCAATATCTACTCTTTGAAATAGAAGCCTCTCTTGACTATAGTATGAAAGGGTTTATTTAAAGACACTTTATTCTAATTATTTGTAAATGTGGTGTCCTTTCCACCTCCTTGGCTCCTTCATGTCCCTCAGGCAGCTCTGTGGAGTGATGAGTTTGTCCTCTTTATAAAGGTGCCAGTGTAAGAGAAGGGGTAGAAATGAGCTAGAGACAAGCACTCGGGCTGCACCCTGTGTAAGCCACGTAGCTGCTGAACGCAGTCCAGCCTCCTGGAGGTGATTCCTTTCAGTGCCAGCACTGTGCTGAGGTGAAACCCAATGCACCTGGTAGGTTTGAAGGTAAAACCTAGAAGGAAACAAGTAACTTTGTAGGGTCTGTGTGATGGAGCTGGGATGTCTGATATTTTCCTCAAATTCCACAAACCCCTTTCTACAGTAAACAACAGTAAAGAAAATGCAAGTCTTCTGACAGCCTGGAAAGTGCTAGGACTCCTTAGGGATACAGATCATGTGTCACCCACATTTTAGTTTGCACAATAGGGTAGGAGTCTTTAAGTAGCTTTGGGGGCTCTTGTACATGAAAGGGGGATTCAAGAAGGAGATGTTGTTTTCCATGCTGATCAACATTCGAAAAATGCGCTTCAGAATGCTGAGCCAAAGGTCAGATCTTTAAATACAATGGAATTTTCTAATAAGCACATAACTTCCTTCCTTTGTCTCTGCTCCCACCCAATTTCTGTCTGGTCTTCAGCATGCACTAGCCTGCTGGTGGAGAGCAGAGAAGGATGCTGGAGCGAGGCCCCCATGGAGGAGAGCTCCAGCAGAGCCCTTATTTCCTGAAAATGCTTCCTTGGTTGTAAAAACTCAAGAGCACACAAGGCATGAGCTGTATGGTCTGTCCTATAAGCCTGTCCTGCTTATGGGGCCACCTTTGGAAGAGATAGGTATTAGGGCTCAGTGCAGAAACCCAGGCAACCTCTCCTTTGCAATTTACACTTTTCATACACCCGTACTAAAGGATTTCGTGCTCACTTCACAGAAATATAAAGACTTCACCAGCATTCATTCATGCAAAGATTTTTGAGCCCTGCCTGAAGTCTTTAGGCTGTATTTGAGTACAGAAACCTGAATTTATTAAAAATAAATGTTTGCAATTTCAGATGGAAGTTACCACAACCCCCAGATGATAGTGCTGCTGACAAAAAATAAACAACCGAATCTAAGCATAGGTAGTATTATTATCAAGATCTTGTCCAAATGAGGTTATATAATATTTCAAATGAGTCTATGGTCAAGTGTCTAGAACTGTAAATTCTGGAAGCCACATTTTAGGAAGGCCATTGGCAGGGAGATGCCAGGAAGATGCATTCAAGGTAGTGAAGAGCCTGAAAACCATTTCATATCATGTTAGGATGGACTTGATGGGAATGTTTACCTGAAAAGGGAAAACCATGTATTTAAAAAACCTGTGGAGAAGAAGCGAGTTTGCCAACTCTGGGGGTCAGAAGTAGGTACAAGTGGAAATTCCTATGACATTTTTCTCAGAAATGGAAAGAACTATCCAGACATTTATATGGAATAACAAAAGACCATGCATAGCCAAAGAAATGCTGAGCCAAAAAAATAAAGCTGGAGGCATAACACTACCTGACTTTAAACTATACTACAAAGCTATAATAACCAAAACAGTATGGTACTGGCATAAAAACAGATACACTGATCAATGGAATAGAATAGAGAATCCAGAAATCAACCCACACACCTATAGCCATCTGATCTTTGACAAAGGCACCAATCCTATACACTGGGGAAGAGACTGTCTCTTCAGCAAATGGTGCTGGGATAACTGGATATCAATATGCAGGAGAATGAAACTAGACCCATACCTTTCACCATACACTAAAGTCAACTGAAAATGGATTAAAGAATTAAATATACACCCATAAACAATAAAACTTATTAACAAATACATAGGAGAGACACTTCATGAAATAGGTCTGGACACAGA